CATGCCAGGGACTGAGTTACAAATCCTGGGGCAGCCAAGACAGATAAGACCCCTCTTATCACAGAGCTTCTAATCTGACTGGGGGAGACAGTGAATAAGTGGACAAATAAATGCATCTAGATGCAAACATGAGTATGCCTGTGTGAACACTGCCTGGGAGCTGCCCAAGGGCAGAGATCAGGTCACAGGCTCCTGTGTGTCCCTGGAGCCCACTCCCAGGGCTGGCTCAGAATTGGCCCCCACTCAGCAAACATTTGTTGAATTGCTTGGCAGGAGAAAGAAAGCATATGGAGAGTGCCCAGTCCTTCTGGTTGTGTCCACGGTAGAAGCCAGCAGGCACACACAGACATCTCATTTCAATTAAACAACAGTTATCGGGGGCCCATTATACACCAGAAGGACCCCAAGCTCTGAGAATCTAGAGGTGAGTACAGTGAGGTCCTGCTCCCTGCGCTCACAACCCAGGGCAGACGCAGGCGTTAAGAGGTAACCAGGAGCCACCCCAGTGTGCTAGGATGGTGGTGGCTGTGTGTGCACCCAGTTCCTACCAGGGCAGCCCAGTGGGCTGGGGAGGGAACACACCAGAGGTAAGGATGAGGAAGGAGTCACAGTTTTATACCCAAATCCACACAGATGGATAAACAGACACCCTCAGAGACAAACGCACACAGAAACTCATAGGTGTGTACTCTGACTGCCTAAGCATGCATGCATACTAAGTCGCCTCAGTCATGTCTGGCTCTGTGCAACCCCATGGACTGTAGCCTGTCAGGATCCCTCTGTCCATGGGACTTTCCAGGCAAGAATCCTGGAGTGGGCTGCAATTTACTTCTCCAGGGGATTTCCCAACTCAGGGATTGAACGTGCATCTCTTACATCTAACTTGCATTGGCAGGCTGGTTCTTTACCACTAGTGCCCCCTGGGAAACCTGGGAGATGCCTAAGCATGTGTACACATAAATAATGACCCCTGTAGGCTCAGGTGCCACACAGGCCATCATGATCAAGGCCTGTTAGTGGTGCCCAAGACTGGGGAGATGAATGTGTAAGAGAATTGCCTATTGCGGGGTGCGAAGGGGGTGGCGGTGAGCACCCTGAGAATCGCCAGACCTTGGCCAGGGGATACCTTGAGGTAGGTGAAGCTATTAGCCTAAACCTGAGAAGTCGGGTTGATTATTGGCTTGCCGTGCATGTCCATCACCAGTCAATCAATTATATGCCCGGCCTAACCCCGCAGATCAGAGGACAGAAAGTAGGGAATGTGATAAAGTCTCCCTGTTGGTATTTGTGATTACTGAGGAGTTGGACCCTGGCTGGGTCAGGGCCGCGAGGTGTAGGAGGGGGCACTGTACCAGGTTCACATTCCTTCAGGGCAGAACTGTGTCCTTTATAAACTTCCCGCTTCCCTATTTGGGTTGTTTTGCCATTCAGAGCTAACAAACAGGAAGTTTTTGGCACTGTTTGGGGCACATGGTAGCCCCTCAGTGAGTGGTCATTTCATCCCCGAAAACCATGGCAGAAGTTCAGGCCTGTTCAGCTGAGGTAAGGGGAACCAGGAAGACAGCCTGGAGGAGGTGGCAGAAAGATAAAACTGGGGATATAAGGTCACATGCCCACTGTGAACCCTGAAGTTGTACATTCAGGGTTGATTCCCTTTAGGATGACCTGGTTTGATCTCCTCGAAGTCCAAGGGACTCTCAAAGAGTCTTCTCCAGCACTACAGTTCAAAAGCATCAGTACTTTGGTGCTCAGCCTTCTTTATGTTCCAACTCTCACATCTGTACATGTGAAGACTACTGGAAAAACTATAGCTTCATATGTAATAACTAATTTAATCCTCTTAACAATACTATGAAGTAGGGACAGTATTATTTGCATTTGACAGATGAAAGAACTGAGTCCCCAAGAGGTTCAGTAAATTTCTCAAGGTCAGGCAGTGAGTCAGTGGTAGCAGCAGGATTGTACTAGAGTCCATCCTTTAACCCCTGGGCTCTGCTACCTTCTTGGAGAGGTCTGGTTCTTCCTCCTTCACCCCTCACTGATACCCCATGGGGCCCTGGATAAGCCCCTGCCCACTCTGTCTCCCTTTCCTTCTCTGGGAAGCAGAAAGTCTTCTCGCCTGGTAACTTCCCAGGGCTGTTGTAAAGCCAGGCTGACTGCCCATACCCCTGTACAGGCTGCTCTGGGAGAAAACGGGGCCTGGCGCAGCCTTCTAGGACAGAGATTCTGAGCTGGGTGCTCTGCATCTTGCCTCCTGGAGCAGGGCAGGGTGGGCAGCCCTCTCAGCCCCACCAACAGATCCACAGTTGGACTCACAGGCCCCTTGAAACCTCCTCAGAGGGCAGGGATTGGGGACACTAATGAGGATGCCAGGAGAGAAACCCCTTCCTCTTAAAGTAAACTCATGCAGAGAAAATCATAAACTGAGCATGCAATTTACACCCCAGTCAAGGCTCTCAGAGCTTAAACATATTCTTCTGGGCTATTTATAGTCCTGGAGAAATTAGAATTTTTCTGGGTAGTGGGAGTGCTAGTAGATTACAGCTGGTCAGGATCGGCCAAAGACTGGCCTGGAAAAGAGTGGGAACCATGGAACCTTCTGGTGCAGGACTCCACATATCCCAGTCTCTCCTCCCTGCCCCAGCCTGGGCAGGTGGGAGCAGAGATAAGGGCTAGAGAGGAGCCTCTTCACCAAGGACCAAATAAGACCTCTCTGTGACCTGAATGGGGATGAGGCCAACTGCCTGGGACCCTTAGAGTTGAGAAGTGAGCTCCCCTATTTCAAGGCTATCATTTCACAAATGCTGGAATTGAGGCTCAGAGAGGGACAGTAACCTATCAAATGTCCCACAGCTAGTGGGGCCCAGGTGAGCACGGGTATCCTGGCCCATGCATCAGCATTCCCACAGTAAACCTTATAACAAGACCTGAGAAGTTAGCTGGAGACACTCCTTGGGGGCAGACGGTGGGAATCCAGCATCCCAGTATGTGCACCAGAGCAGACATCCCCAACGAGGGTTCCTGAGTAGGGAAGGCATGTCCTGGGGACTCTGAGAGCCCAGACTCCCTTCCCTTGCCTTCAAGGCTACCAATGTCCCCTTTTAAAAAATATATTTATTTGACTGCACCTGATCTTAGTTGTGGCATATGGGATCTAGGTCCCTGACCAGAGATCGAACCTGGGTCCCCTGCATTGGGAGCACAGAGTCTTAACTGCTGGACCACCAGGGAAGTCGCCCAACACCCTTTTGAAATATCTCCCTTGCCCCTCCTTACAACCAACTCCCCCCTCCTGCTACCCCTAGAACATTCCCAGCTCCCATACTCCTCTGAACTCTTGTTCACACCCTTCCCACCTAGACTGCCTTTACCCCACTTCCCCTGATTAACTGAATTCTTCCACCCCTCAAAGCCTCTGAAGTCCCCATTCCTGGTAGCCCTGTGACTTGCCCTCACTCTGAATGCCTTGCTAGGGCTAACAGCCCACCCAAGGAGGTCCTGTAAGGTGTCACCCAGATACACAATTCAGGATGAAGGCATGCAGTTTCCTCCCAACTGCAGGAAACTCAGTAGCTCCCAGATGAGTCTCTGCAGAAATTGCCTTCCATCAAAGAGCATAGATTCCCCTGAAGTCATGCCCCCTTCCCCGGGGCAGCGGATACCAATGATTGGTCTGGGGTATGGAGTCTCTCTCTCCCTTTCCCCTGGCAGGAGAATTCTAAGGGCCAACCAGGTCCAGAGCTTCCTAGCAGATCAGCTGAAGCTATCGTTGTAACTGCACCTGAGTTCAACTTCTGTCTGCTCTTCCTGCTTCCCTTTCCCCTCATAGGGCTTGTTCTCAAGAGCCCACTGGTCTTCATTTCAGAGAATGTTTTCCAGGGAAACTGGTTTGCAACACTAAAAACAGAATGGTTTAGCAGCCAGCCTGGGTTCAAATAGAGATCAACCATAGTTAGCTCCATGACCTGGAATGACCTGAGGCTCTAGTTCCTATCTCTTGAGGATATTATGAAGATTAAATGAAATGATAGTACTTGATATTGAGAAAGTGCTTAATACACATTAGCTGTTATTATTTACATTTAACTTCTTTGAGGTTTGGGTAAATGAAAATAAGATATCATTATCTGCCTCAGGGGGTTCCTAGTAAGAATCAAACAAGATTGAGAAGCAAAGGGGTGTGACCTAATAGAGGTTCAGGGGTCAAATTCCTTGAGGGTTTTGCCCACTCTAGAGCAGTGGTCTGGGGGCCTGACCTCTCCCCCAACTGGGAGAATCATTGTATTGCTTTCCTATCACTGCTGTAGCAAATTAGCACATTAGTGGCTTCAAACAAAACAAGTGTGCTATCTTAACATTTCTGTGGGTTAGAAGTCTGGTATGGGTCTCACAGGACTAAAGTCAAGGTGTCATCTGGCTGTATTCCTTTTTGGTGGCTCTAGGGGAGAATCTGTTTTCTGCTCATTTGGATTTTTGGCAAAATTCAGTTCCTAGGGTTGTGGGACTGAGGTCCCCATTTTCTCGCTAGTTGTAAAATGAAGCCTCTGGCTTTTAGTGTGTGTGCGCGCTCAGTTGCTCAGTCACGTCTGACTCTTTGTGACCCTACGGACCATACCTTGCCGGGTTCCTCTGTCCATGGAATTTTCCAGGCAAGAAGACTGACTTCCGGAAACCACTGCATTCCTTGGCTTGTGGCCCCACTCCTCTGTCTTCAAAGTCAATGCAGGCAGGTGGAGTTCTCAAGGCTATCTTTTTAGTTATCTTCTACTCTTAAGGACTTACATAATCAATTTGGGCCACCCTAGCTAATCAAAGACACTCTCCATCTCAAAGTCTTTAATCATGACTGCAAAGTCCCTTTTGCCATGGCAGGTAACATATTCACAGGTTTCAGGAATTGGAACATGGAGAGGGGGGCAGGGGGGAGGCATTACTCTACCTACCATAGCCGCTCATCATGGGGCACCTTCTGACCCAAAATCCCCCTCCTCCTTTTCCAGGGGGAGTTCTGTACCGTTCCCTGTGCGGCAGGGACCTATGGCTCCAACTGCTCGTCTGTCTGTAGCTGTAACAACGGGGGCACCTGCTCCCCAGTCGATGGCTCCTGCACCTGCAAGGAGGGTAATGTGCCTGCTTCCCCACCCCATCCCCTCAAATGTGCACACAGAGGTTGCCCAGGTGGGCTGCCAGCTGCCCACCCACCCACATGCAGAGTCAGGGAGCCTGTATGTCAGGTTCCAGCCAAGGAGACTCATGCCCGGGACATCAGCAGCAGGAATGTAATAAAAGGGATTCGTTACGAGGGTGTTAGAAGCGCTGAAGAGATTTGCAAGGGAATGTGAGCAACCCGGAAATTAGTAGCCTCCTCTCACAGTTGCTACCACTTCTAGGGTGAGAGGGACGGAAGGAGAAAGTGGAGTTCCCAGAGCCTGTAGGTGAGGGCCGCCTGGTAGGGACTGAGACAGGGGCAGAGGGGCCGCAAGATGGTGCTGGAGTACCGAGACAGCCACCCCAGAGGCCCTGCTCACGGCAGAGAAAGAGGAGAAGATACCTGTGCCTCTCCTGCTCCCGCCCCCCCATCGCGGGCCGGCTCTCCCGCTGGCAGCCCACCTGAGAGCAGCTGCAGGGCTCAGCCCCCCGTGACACAGAGCGGGGGGGGGGGGGGGGGGGCGGGGAATGATCCGAGGGCAGACAGGCCGTAACCAGCCTGCTCCCAAACACAGCGCCCTGAGATGAGCTTCCCGAGTCCACCCTGGGCCCAGAGAGGACCCCAACCTCCGCTGATGCCCTGTCCGGGTGGGACCATCCACCTGTAGCAAGAACAGGGAGAGCCAGCAGGCGGGGGAGCCAGCTTCTAGCCCCTGCACTCTCAGCAGCCACGCTGTGGTTCCGAGTGGACTCGGAAGGCGGGATGTGCGCGCTCACCCAGCTACCGGAGGAGTGGCTCCGGTGCTCCGTCTTGTACGGAGCTGGGGGAAGTGGGCAGAAAACCGTGCGGACACGTGACAGAGAGGTGACAGCCTTGTCCCTCGCCCTCAGGGTGGCAGGGCCTCGACTGTGCCCTGCCGTGTCCCAGCGGGACGTGGGGCCTGAACTGCAACGAGAGCTGCACCTGCGCCAACGGGGCGGCCTGCAGCCCCGCAGATGGCTCCTGCTCCTGCACGCCCGGCTGGCTGGGGGACACCTGTGAACTGCCCTGCCCGGTGAGTGTGGGGCGGGGGAGGATGGGGGGACACACAGCCCCTCAGGCCTTTTCCCTGTGGTTATTTCGTCCACAGAAGTGCAGAGAAGGGCACGGGGCCAGGTGATGGAGCACCCGGATTGAGATCTCAGCCCCAGTTCTAACCTCTCTGTCCTACTTTCGGCCTCAGGCCTCTCATCCGTTACATAGTAGACACTGGACAGATGTGGTGATGTGGAGTCACTTTCCCCAGCATGCTCTTGGTGACCATTATTGACTCTGGAACAGTTAACCTGAGCCCAGGTGCAACTCCCGAATCCTTCATGACTCAGCGCTACAGGCCAGCCCTTACTAATCCATCAGAGTGGCCATTCCTTGATAATGTCTAAGTTTCTAACTCCAACAGCCTATAATTTTATGATCAAGATGTGGGAGGACTAAACCAAGCATTATCCAGCAATAACCACCTAGACTTACTCCCTGGGTCTTAGTCTCTGATACAAATAAGTTAAATTAACTGATGGTCTACTGGATGAGTCCTGTAGTCCCCGGTTCCAATCCTGGCTTTGCCTCATCCTAGCTATGTTGCCTGGAGCATGTTACCTCACCTCATCTTTAAATTTTGAATATAATGAAACCATCTCATAGAGTTGTTGTGAAGATTAAGAGAAATGAGTTAAATAAGACTCTTGATAGCTAATGTTTGAGCACACCGCAAACGTCAATTGCCACCTTCTTACCCAGTAACAAAGAATAAATCATAATCCTTCTTTATATGTGGTCAATGTTCTAAAATTGGCATTTTCATTTCCAATGTTAATTAATGATCATTACAGCTCTCTGAGAAGTAGGAAAGGACTACCACTTCCCTCCTTCCAACTGCATACTCCTGTTAATGCAGCCATGAAAATTTTTGGAGTGGCTTCATTGAATCCCCAGTTATAAAAACGTGCCTTCCCTTTGCCCTGGCCCCAGCTTCTCTGCATCCTTGTCGGGTAGCAGCTCAGTTTTGTCATCAAAATCCCACAGAAGTGTGAGAACCTCTGGGGGTCTAGATCTCACCATTTCTGTCTCCACAGGATGGCACGTTTGGGCTGAACTGCAGTGAACGCTGTGACTGCAGCCACGCCGATGGCTGTGACCCCGTCACAGGCCACTGCTGCTGCCTGGCTGGATGGACAGGTAACCCCCTCAACCATGCCACCATCCAGGTCCTGGGAAACTGAGTTTTGGGTATTCTGCTGCCTTCTCTTGACTTTTCTTTCTTTTCTCCTTCACTATCTCTTCTTATTTCCTAGGTATGCATCTTTCCTTTATCTCCTCTGGGCTTCAGGTCTCCATTCCATGCAAATTAACAAACGTTAATTGAACACCTATTATGTACAGGCTCTTTTCTAAGGGCAGGGGACAGACCAGTTTTTAAAAAGTCAGACAAAAGTGTGGGTGCTCAGTCTGTGCTTACAAAGGATACGGTGGAGACAGACGAGAAACTTTCACCTTCGCCCAGGCTTAGACTCCTGGTCCCTACATGTGTCCTGGCAGTCCACCCCCTAAATACACTGCAAAGCCATCCATTTTTCACCAGCCTCTGCCACTGTCCTTGTACACTGAGCACCATCTCTCACCCAACACTGCCTTGGCCTCCTTTTTGTCTCTGGACCTCCCCTTTTGTCCAGCTGCACCTACTCTGAACATGGTGACCAGATCCGTTCACATCACATTGAGGCTCAGAATGCCTCAATGGCATCCCACGGCATTTATCCAAAAGCCTTACAGTGACCTGAGGTCCACATGGTCTGGCCCTCCCCAACTCCTCCACCTCTCTTATACCCCCTCCCATTGCTCACTTTATTTCAGCCACCTGGGCCAACCACCTCCCTGACTCCAGGCATCAAATGTGCATTCCCCCTGCCTGGATCACTCTTTCTCCTTCTCTTTACCCAATAATACCCTCTCATCCATCATATTTTGACTTAAAGATGACTTCCTATGGGAAGGTTCTCTCCTTGGATACTACCACCTCCCCAACCTGGCCAAGATTATGAAAGAATGCCTTTAATTAATTCTCAGAATACCCTACAGTATTTTGATTCTCAGAATGCCCAACAGCAGTCCTTACTTCAGTTGTCACTGAACTCTGATTGAGTAACTATTTGTTTATTATCTGCCTCCCACATTGACCTCAGTTCTGTGTAGGCAGGGACCAATCCGCCTTGTTCACCACTGTATCCAGTGACTGTCACACACAGAAATGGTTAAGGACACAGAGCCGGAGCCAGGCCACTTTGGGCAAGTCCTTTAACCTCTCAGGGCCTGAATCTTCCATCCATAAGATGCAGATAATAATAATCCTTATAACTACAGGGTCCTTTGAAAGTTTAGATGAGTTAATACCTGTAAGTGCTAACAGTACCTGGCACAACAGCAGGTGTTCAGTAAGTGTTAGCCGGAAACACAGTGTTGATAAGATATTGCATGAATGAACCCACTGGCCATTCCCAAAGTGGAGGACAGCAAGGAGTGAAGAACGCAGGCATTGCTGGCAGGGAATGTCCTTAAAGAATTCACACCAGGCTGCTCAGGAACCTCTGCTCTCCACAACCAGAAAGTCAAGGACTGGGGGCATTGCTTCCTCTGTAGCATCTTCAATCTGACCCCCTTGTCCTGCCCCTTAGTACAAAGCTGGACTCCACCCTGGTTACTGACACCCTACACTCTTGGTTGAAGTCAAATGGAAGTCCACTTTAATTTTTCATTGCCTTAATTTTGAGTGAACCGATAAGATTTTAATGACATCTGGTGCTTAAAAATTCTGTCTTTGATGGACAACCTTTCAGCAAGGTCTCTGCTGTTCTAAAGCTAATTTCCCCAAACATGGTCCTGAAGTCATTTCAAAGGAGCAATTGATGTTCTGAGATTTGTTCAAGCAGAAGAAAACCAAGACAGGGAAGGCTTGGGGTACAGGCCCCAGCCTCCTACTTAGCAAGCCCTCCCCACCTACCCCTGACCACCTAGCCCCTGGCATACTGCTAGTCCCTTGATTTCAACACTTTTTATTATCATTTTGGCTGCACTGGGTCTTCATTGCTGTGTGTGGACTCTTCTTTGCAGCGTGTGAAGTCTTTATTGTAGCACAGGCTTTCTAGTTGTGACATGTGGGCTTAGTTGCCCTGCAGCATGTGGGATCTTAGTTCCCGGACCAGGGGCCAAACCTCACACATGCCCTGCATCGGAAGGCGGGTTCCTAGCGCTGGACCGCCAGGCACATCCCTCAGCACTTGTTTCTCTTTCCTTTAAGCAAGTGCACGTCTTCTCCCCTCAACCCCAATTAGCCACAGGCTGCTTGACTGGCATGATGTCTAATTCACCTTGCCCTGCACATAGTAGTTGCTTATTCAATGTTTATTGAATAAGTTGAAAGAAACTGGCCTGTAACCATATACAGATTTTCCCCTTGAAGTGAGGAGACCTTGATGATGATCTGCTCCCATCTCCTCCCGATACGCAGGAGGGAAAACAGCTGTCTAAGGTCTCAGGACGTTACTGCCAACAGGAGGCATAGGATTGCACTGGAGAGGGAAAACGTTTCTTCATGCAACTAGCATTTATTGACCCAAACCATCACCAAATCTTTATCTGGCAGCTACCACGTGGCTGGCCCCGAACTAGGCCCAGGAGTAAATGGCAGAATTCAATAATAGTAATAGACCCTGGGCACCTATTGTGTGCCAAACACTGTCCTGGGTGCTAAAGATGCAGAAATGATGATGATGATGGTTTCCCTGCCTATTGGGAGGACCTGAATAAAGAGTCAGAAGTGTCAATAAACCATGATCCCTGTCTCCCTAGGGCACATACATGAAATATTCAAATAATAGGTAGGGACAAAGCTGTATGCTGCTATAAAATACATGCTTGAATCCCTGGGCAGACATCCAGGAAGGCTTCCTGGATGAGGAGGACCTAAAACAGTCCACAAAGAATGTGGGCTGCTGAGTTGCTACCGGCCTTGTGATGTGAACTAGAGGTCACAATACATGGATTCTTAGTCTAGCTGCACCCATCAACATGGATGTGTAGAGAGCCCCGAAAAACAAAACAGGGAGATTCTCTTAAGGTAAAAAGGAGAGGGCCCCCAAGGGCAATTATTATCCCTAGACAGGGCCTAGAGAAGGCAGCTAACTGAAGACACCACACCTCTTCAGAAGCTGTAATTCTGAGAGACAGCCTCCCTTTAGGCCAAGGCCAGCCGCCCTGACCACACGAGTGCAACTGACCTTTAGATTCTTCTCTCCATTTAGGTGCCAATGTCTGATGTTCCAAGTAGGTCTTAGGACATAAAAGAACCTCAAACAAGAGCCTCACCCACAGCACCAGACCTAGACTAGAATAAGTGGCAGACCCTAGAACCCAGTGGGCCCTTGCAGCCATCTGCAATCTGAGCATAATCACCTTACACCTATGATTCTTAATCTCCAAAATAAAGAGGACACATTTTTAACATGAAAACATTTTGAGGATCCCAGACAGGAGAGTAGCTATATTTCTAATGTCTACTGATTTGGGGAAAACATAGAGTGACAGGCTGCCGTGAATTCAGGGGTACTTTTGCATGCACTGTTTTATTAATCACAGTAATATCAGCTCATAGTTTTAGGGAAGCGCTGCATCTGCGTGTGATGCACGTGCCTTGAGCCGCCTAACAAAGAGCGCTTAATGCACAGGTGGGATCGGAGCCCCCTGTCCCATAGTGGGACTCCGCCTTAGTCCTGTGTGCCTCCAGAGAGCAGCAGGGCCCCTCGGCCTGCAGTCCGAATCTCACATTTTCAACATCCACAGGCACAAGAATTCCTTGAGGCAGATCATGGCTTTTGGTTTTGGGGTTTTATTCTTTTAATATTTATTTATTTTTAATTGATTGATGATTGCTTTATAATATTGGCTTGATTTCTGTCATACAGCAACATAAATTAACCATAGGTGTACATATGTCCCCTCCTTCTTGAATCTCCCTCCCACCACCCACCCCTCTAGGTTATTACAGAGCCCCAGTTATTACAGAGCCTCCCTGAGTCATATGGCAAGTTCCCCTTGGCTATCTATTTACATATGTTAGTGTATATGCATCCATGCTACTCTCTCCATTTATCTTAAACAGCTTTGTGTTTTTTCCTGCCTCAGGTTCCCCTTCAGTCCATTCATGCTATTTGCCACCTCTTGTGAACCTGAAACTCCACTAGGAGAGACCTCCATTGCGGAGTGAAATGTGACCACCGGATTCTCATTGGGGAAAGATGGCATTTCCTGGGAGAATCTCCCCCCACCCCCTTCCCTCCATTGTCCAGTCGCTCAGTTGTGTCCAACTCTTTGCGACCCCACGCAAGGCTTCCCTGTCCTTCACTATCTCCCAGAGTTTACGCAAACTCATGTTCCTTGAGTCGGTGATGCCATCCAACCATTTCATCCTCTGTCGCCCCCTTCTCCTCCTGCCCTCAATCTTTCCCAGCATCAGGGTCCCTCCGTACAAAGGCCAGTTTTCTGCAGAGTGGCATCAGAAGCCCCGACCCAATGTAGAATTGAACTGTCACAGGAGGAACACCCAGGGAGAGTTAGGGAGCCAGGCTGGACGGAGGCGCTGGAGGGGAGTAAAGCCTGCCGACCCCCTCTCGCCCACTCTGCCTCTGTTCTGCCCCCTCCCCTTTCCTGCCAGCCACGGTGGGCTTGTACATTCCAGCCTGCCTCTAAATTGGTCCCACCGCTCTCCTGCTGCTGCTAGGGCCGGCTCTGTTCACTGAGCCTGAATGTCTTCCTCCCACTTTCTTTCTCTTTCTCGTGATCCCTGTCCTTATAACAAGGCAGACATGCTTTTTAAACGAATTCTGCTCCTCTCTGAGCCTCTGATATTCACCTTCCAAAGCCAAGTTGGTCTCCGGGGCCCCCACGGTCCATTCACCTTATGCATGTCGGACTAGCAGCCTTTCTGCCTGGGAGGAAGCCACTCCGCAGAGCTGGGCATCCAGCCTCAGGCCTTTTAAAATTCCTTCTCAACCTGCAGGCTGTAATCACCCCCAACACACATTTCCTTTCTCTCAACTCCAAAAGATTGTGTAGTCCTTGTTCTTCTTTCTTTCTGACAGATTCCATCCATTCCCCCTTAGGCCACTGTTTGTCAAACTGAAGGTCATTAAATCAATTTGTTGGGTCACAACTAGATTTTTTTTTTTTCTTCTTAATGAAATGGAATACATCATAGTGCAGAGAAAACATCAGATTGCATCATACTCAGTGACAGTAAATGTCATTTGCAGAGCACTGGTTTCTATTATTCATATGTATGCACATTTGATATAAAATACATATTACACTGAGGACTGTGGTCAAAAGAATCTGAAAAGAGCCTCCCACTCTCTGAGCCACTGCCCAGGGGCTGGTTGGCTGGGGCCCCGCAAGGACCAATGGCCCCTGGGCTAACATGGGTGAGCATGTAACTCACTCCTGGCTCATGTAGCCCCCCATCATGGCACTTACTTGCTCCACTAACCTTTGTTGTTCAATCACTCAGTTGTGTCTGACTCTTTGTGACCCCATGGACTGCAGCATGTCACTAACCTTGGATTTCAGCTAAGATGTCAGGGACAAAGGAGGCCTTTCATGATCTGACCCCTTCTGATTCCCACAACCTCATCTCTTACTGTATCCCATCATGTACTTTATGCTCCAACACACTATATTATACTTCAAGGCATGATTCTGCAGAGTGGCATCAGAAGCCCCGACCCAATGTAGAATTGAACTGTCACAGGAGGAACCCAGGGAGAGTTAGGGAGCCAGGCTGGACGGAGGCTCTTTGCACATAGGATTTCCTTTACCTGGTCAATTCCTACTTGGTCTTTAGGACTTATAGTTCAGTCATTCGCCTCTTCCTAGAAGCCCTCCCTGACCAGCCAAGCCTCTCTGTTCTTTCCTCCACATTTCCCGATGTGCTTGCCTCTCCACCCCCACCCCCCTCTCGCTGCACAGTGCACCCTCCTCATCACCACTGACCCGAGTCTGTCTCTGGCCCACAGGCATCCACTGTGACAGCACGTGTCCGCCTGGACGCTGGGGCCCCAACTGCTCTGTGTCCTGCAACTGCGAGAACGGTGGTTCCTGCTCCCCAGAGGATGGGAGCTGCGAGTGTGCCCCGGGCTTCCGAGGACCCCTGTGCCAGAGAGGTAAGGCTGACCCCCACCCACAGACCTTGGCCAGCTCTCCCTCCCTACTCCTTCCCAGCTGGAGAGAGGCTGGACTTAAATCTCTTAATCCCTATCAAATCCCTCCCTCTAATTGCCTTTCTCCCAGCCTTAACTTTTCTGTCCCCAAGTTCAGGGCCCAGCCTGACTCCCCTATAGAAACAGGATCACCCCCACTCCTCTCTGTAGAAAGGAACAGGCCCTCCGAGATGTGGGTGGATGCGACTCTCCCCGTACTGTTGAGAAGCCTCTCTTCATCACCGTGGGGGACTGGGCAGGTGGCCAGGCTGGCTGGTGCCCCTCGAGCCGCTGACCACCATCTCCCCTTCGCCGCAGTCTGTGCCCCCGGGTTCTATGGCCATGGCTGCACCCAGCCGTGCCCCCTCTGCGTGCACAGCAGCGGGCCCTGCCACCACGTCAGCGGCATCTGCCCGTGCCTCCCCGGATTCTCCGGAGCCCTTTGCAATCAAGGTAGTCTCTCCAGGGATCGGGGGGCGTTGGGGGCGGGTGCAGGGAGACGAGGAGTCCTGGGAGGGGAGCAGAAGGGAAGAACGGTCCGGGATCCTCATCAGGCTCTGTGGAGGCAGCTCCTCGGCTCTTCAGGGCTTCTTGTTGTTCAGTCGCTAAGTCATGTCCGACTCTGCGACCCTATGGACTGCAGCATGCCAGGCTTCCCTGTCCTTCACTGTCTCCCAGAGTTTGCTCACATTCATGTCTGTTGAGTTGGTAATGCTATCCAACCTTCTCATTCTCTGCCATCCTCTTCTCCTTTTGCCTTCAATCTTTCCCAGCATCAGGGTCTTTTTCAGTGAGTCGGCTTTAGGGGGCTTAGAGCTACCTTAATAAGAAATGGACATCACGGGCCATGAGAAAAAGCCATTATGCAATTGAAGGAACAGGCTCAGAGAGGGTAAAAGACTTCTCCATGGTCTCACAGCTAGCAAGTGGCAGAGGTGAGAATCAAATTCTGACTCCAAAGCCCAGTCTAAACAGATGAAAAATGAAACAAGTATAGCTGAGGTCCACCTACGAAGTGGCCCCAAATGGCTTGTGCTGCATGTCAAGTGGGAAAGGCAAAGAAGGCTGTGGGAGCTCAGAGGAGACAGTTCTAGCTTTGCTGGAGATGGCAACTTCCCAGCCCTTCTCTCCTTGCACTCAGGCCAATATCACTAATCCCCTGCTACATGCTTTCATGTCTCAGCTGCAGAATTCACAGCACCTACTCCAGCCAACCTCTTCCACTCACTGGGAGTTGAAAGGGGAGTTAAAGCTTATTGCACTGATCTGCTGCTAAAAAAGCCCTAATTTGTGTCATATACAAATTTCCATGATGTAGATATTCCCACCATGGCTGATTCGAAGGTACTAGTGGTTTAATACCAGTTGTGAAATTCCTGAATATTTAACAACCAGGGTGAAGGTAGAAGCTGGGTCAGTGCACATCATTACTTATTGCTGTCCCTGGCTTGGTTAGGCCAAGGTGGGATGGATTTGGGGGACAGCTCCATCCCATGCTGGATTTCAACTGGGACTTAGCCTAAAAGACAGATGGAAGAAAAGCATTGTGGGTACAGGAGCCAACCTGTGCAAAGCAGAGGGGTGGATCCGTGACTGCCCAGCGTAGGAAGTGACAGGAGGGTTCCAGGGCTGTGGGTGACACAGGGGACTGGGAAGGTAGTCTGGGGACTCCTGAAACGTTCTGAAGACAAGGATGCAGAATTTGTACTTTAACCTGTAACAAGGGAAGAGATCTTCATCTAAGGTAACCTTAGAGCTAAAAGCAACTTCAAGGTCATCTATGAAACAGTTTCATCTGTCTTCTGCTTAAATACTTCCTTGGAGAGCTCACTGCTTCCCAGGGGACTGAACCCTTTTGAAGAATAATGACCACTGAGCTCGGCTATTTTTGTAAGTGTGTGGGCCGTTAATATGTATGAGTGGGAAGTTTACTCCGTGACGCTTTGAGGTTATGAGAAGTTTGGAACCCCCCAGGAAACGTATGTGACAGTTTCATTTGCTTGCATCCCTCCTAGGACAGTTTAATCATAACCTGACACGTCGAGGTTTACTTATTAAACATCAGAGACCCAGCCATCAATACAGATAGGCTGGGTCTAAATTAGGACCTAAGCAGCTCGAGGAGTAACTCTCAGATCCTGCAATGTCTGATTTATCGCCCGCTGGCCTAATGAGTATTTTCCACATATAGATCTAATAGAGTTTGCTATTAATGGCAACTGCCCTGGTTAAGTCTCAAACCTTGTAAAAAATTGAACTGACAGTTTCTAATGACCGGCTTTTCAGCAAGTTACAAATTACAGACACTGCTTATGTAGAATCATTAAACATAGATTAAATATAACCAGATGTTTTCTTTTCACCAGCCCCCCCACCAGCTCCCCCCACCCCCTTCTCTCCACCTTTCCTCTCTTTGCCTCACTCTTGATTTGGCTAAGAAGTCAACCAATTAATGCATTAGACTGATCACATTAGCAGCTCTGTGGGTGAATTTGTCAACCTTGTGTATGTGAGAAAGACTTCAAAGATAAGACCATCTTGTTAGCAAAGATGAGTTGGTTTTAAGAAGGGCGTCAGTGGAGCATCTCTGGCACCCCATTCCCCACAGAGGGCCAGGACTAGGGGATGGATTCCCAAAATCAGGTGTCTCCTAGAGGCTGACCTGTTTTTCAGGAAACAGAAGCGAGAGGCTGAGCTGCAAACAGGTGAGATGAATGCCATCCTCCTGGCAGTGGACCTGCCCTGGAAGGAGTTAACGTTTTTGCTAGGGAAGAGCACAGGGGCCCAAAGCAACCAGGATTCCCACAACCGTTAACTACATCCCAAGGCCTGTGGGTGAGGGTTATCAGCCCCATTTCAAAGATGAGGAAACAGACTGAGAGGGGTGATGTGGTCTGCTTAAAGGTACTGAGCCAGTGAGTGGCAGAACTTCCAAGCTGTGGGCAAGTAACTTAACCTCTCAATGCCTCAGTTTCCTCATCGGTAGACTTAATAATAAGGACTAGTAATGAAAATGTATAATAATGAGAGTATTACAAGGTTATTGGACTAATATTTGTGAAGTACCACTGAACAGTGGTACATGACAGTGCCATAGAAGTGCTTATTGAATACATAAATAAAACCAGCAGCCAAAGCTTTGGCTGGCGAGTCTGGTACACCATGCTGCCTTTATCGTTGGTCCCATTGCTAACAGTGTCCTGGAGAGACAGAGTGGACACAGATCCTAGGCAGCTGCTGCCCGCCATCTAGTCGGGAGAGGGCTGGCAACATGAGGCAGTGTGGCATAGGGAGTGGTGAGGGCTGTGGGCCCAGGGAGGTTGCTTTTCTTCAAGAATCAACACCTTCCCGTGGTTCTCTGTGTGGCCCAGCCAAAGGAGGGCCTCGGGGATGCAAGGACTTCCTCCCCCATAACAGGGATGCAAGGAGGCCATCCTGGAGGGTGTAGGGCTGGCTGGAGCCGGGTTTCGAGGGGAGCGTGTCGAGTTGAGAGGAGCTCTAAGGGGCAGGGGTCACTGATTGCAGTTTCAGAACCCACTGGAAGGTGACTGCTCCTGAGGCCTTGGCCATTTGGGGAATAGTTCTTGAGTGTTTGTTGTATGCCGTGCACTGTGCTGGGCACTCAGGCACAACAAAGAAAAAGAGAGGCAAGTTCCCTGCCCTCACAAAGCCTGCGGTCCAGGGGGTGAAATTCTGAGCTCAGCCTTTTCACAGAACTTGGTGGGAGGCAGCGGTGGGGGGAAGGGGCAGCAGTTTATTTCCACATATTCAGCCTTGAGCACCTGTTGTTTTTCCAAGTGTGGTGGGATACAGACATGGGTGGAACCCAGGCCTGGCCAGAAATGGTTCACAAGCCACAGTAACAGAAGACCAGGGAAGAAACTAATAGAGGGTCATAGAAGCTCAAACAGGGATGTAGCCTCCCAGAACAGAGAAGGGGGTGAATATACCAGGATTAAGTTCAGCTATAATACTAAAAACCAAAATAACTGAATTGAAAATGACAAGCTTTGTTTTCCTCATACATTAAAATAAATAAAAAGGTCCAGAAGCATGTTACTAGGAAACAGTGGGGTAGCTTTCAAAGGTGTCAGGGGCCCAAGCTTCTTCTGTCTTGTTCTGCATCCTCAGCATATGGTTCACCTCTACTGTAAGGGAGCTGCTTGAGCTCCAACCATCTCACCCACAATCTTCCTCCATAATCCATGTTATTCTTCAGTAAGAGGGAGGAATGGGCAAATAAAGACACGCATTTCCACTTAGCATTGGTCAGAAGGTAGTCACACCTACCCAGCTGCGCAGGTGGCCAGAAGCCCAGGAAACTGAGGAAGAAGGGAACTGGTATTAAAGGACTTGCTGTCTACTACAGAGGGATCACCGGGATGGTGGCACTTAAGATGAGTCTTGTGGGCAGGGTAGGATTTCCATGACTGGGCATAAGGGTCAGGGAAACTCTGGGAGGAACAGTTAGAGGCACAGATGAGGAAAGGCATGGGGTGTTATTTGGAAGACAGTGTGTGGTCCAGGGGCTCATGGTTTCTGTGCGAGGTGTGTTTAAGTGCTGATCTCTAGGATCTAGGTTTTATTCTAGGGCAACAGGGAGCCACGGAGGATGTTTGAGCAGGGCACAGGAGTGCAACGAAGAAGGCTGTGCTTTAGAGAGCTCAGGCTGTAGGAAGCAGGTAGAGGATGTATTTCAAGAGAAATGAGAGGTAGGTGCTTGGTGAACTCATACCTAGTACTTAAAGGAGCTTGCAGCTTGGTTGAGGAAATCAGCCCTTCTTCCAGCAACCAAAGAGTGACTCCTCCAGGAGGGGCTGGGCCCCAAATCCTGCAAGTGACTCAAAGTAGAAATATGACCGGAGCTCCATGTTGGAGAGCCCATAATGGACTCAGGAAGGTTCTCCTAAGGAGGCTGAGTGGAAGCTCAAGGAATAGGTTGTATTTGGAGAGACAGGGGACAGGTGGACAGGGACAGACATTGGGGGCCAGCCCCCTCTCCAGCTAACTGCAGACAGACCGGCCACCCTGCCTGTGTCCCTCTCCTTCTGGCTATGAAGGTCCTCTGCCCCGTTGTGGGATCAGTGATGCTGATGAAAGTGTGGTCATGGCCAGCTGCGGGCAGGGAGCAGTAGGGTCCAGAGGTGGAATTCCCAGCCTTACCACTTGTCTGTGGGACCTCGGCCAAGTCATTCTCCCCTATGGGCCTCAGCCCATTCCTGTCAGAGGTGGTCAGGAAGAAGGCAGCTATGGGAACAAGAGGAGGAACTCACTGCTGTGGAAATGGGGGTGCTGAGGCAGGCAGCTCCCACCTGATCCATGACCCCATGGGGGCCACGGCTGTGGCCTGGGACAAGGGGTGTGGCTGTGGGTGGTGGTCTGAGGAGTGCAAGTGGGAGGGCAGGTGCCAGGCTATCCTGTGCCCACAGTGTGTGCTGGAGGGCATTTTGGGCAGGACTGTGCCCAGCTCTGCTCCTGTGCCAACAATGGGACCTGCAGCCCCATCGATGGCTCCTGCCAATGCTTCCCTGGATGGATCGGCAAAGACTGCTCACAGGGTAAGCTGCTGCGCCCCAGGAAAGCCACCAACCAAGGTCGGGCCCAGAACCTCTCTGCCCCTGGTGCTTCCACCTCCCAGGGCTGAAATCTCCTTCTGCACATAGGGGTGTTCCCCTGAGTCCCATAGAGTCTCTACAGCTAACATGATGAATTCCTAGGAGTGATCACTGGCATTATTAACTGCTAGTTTTAAAGATATGAACATTATTGGTAATATCATTAATACTGTAAATGCTGCGTGTTAATATTCCTAGAACCTGAGCAAGGAGTAGCTGCTAAGTTTGGATGGGGAGGAAGAGGGAGCAGGGAAGTAAGGTGAGACGGGGCAGTCACCTCAGAGGGGTGAGGGCATTCTCTGGGTAGCTCATGTGAATGATGTCCTGGGCATCACAGGCCCAGACAGGGCCTTGTAGGGGCTGTAAGGTGAACCCAGTCTGATACAGAGATAACAGGGACCTCCAGTTTAAAGGCAGAGACCCAGCCTCTGCCCTGTGGAGTCCTTGGCTGATGGGTGAGGCCAGTACTAGGAGCCAGTACTCCTAGGAAGGTCCCAGTTAGATAGCCTAGCTGAAGGCATTTCCGTGCTGATGGCGGTGTCATCCTCAGGGAGCTCACCAGCCAAAAGAAAAGACTCTCTACCTTGGGAAAATCCCCATCCTCGTGGGGAAGTTAGCACAGTGTTCACACCGTAAACCACGGCTTACCAGTTACCACAGACACCCACAAGCTCCAAATCACAGTCAATCCCCAGAGAGGGAAGAGTCAGAAACCCTCAGGGCTGGGAGAGTGGGCAGAGAATCACCAGGAATCCGGGGTGCCTGGGCCAAGAGGTGACTGGAGTTCTGGCCACAGTGGTTAAGCCCCCTGCAAGTCAGGAAATGCCAGCTAGGTGCATCGTGGCGCCTGGGCTCTGACATGCACTCCCCTTCCTCTCCCTCCCTCTCCGTCTGCCCCTCTCTGCCTTGCCCTCACCCTCTGCATCCCACCCACCCCCAGCCTGCCCACCTGGGTTCTGGGGCCCCGCCTGCTTCCACACATGCAGCTGCCACCACGGGGCGAGCTGCAGCGCGGAGGATGGGGCCTGCCACTGCACCCCTGGCTGGACCGGACTCTTCTGCACGCAGCGTAAGCCCCGCCCTGCAGCCTCCCAGCTATTTGGAATCCCATGCTGCAGCCTGCTGGCTGCCGTGGGCATCGTCCGGGCCTGCAGTGGAGGTGGGGAGGAGACCGGTGCCTGGCTGTGAGCTAACCATTTCACCCTCCACCCCTGGGATTGACTGGAGAGGGTGGCTGGCTTCAGGGGATTGATGGGGCCCAATCCTGGAAGGTCAGGGCTATTAGGTACCCCAGCAATCACCAAGTCCAGCTGCTCGCTGGACAGGGGGACCAGAGTGGGCAAGAGCAGCCTGTGGCTGCGCAGCAAAGAGATACCAGCCTGGCCTCTGGTTCCAGGGCCCCTTTGTCCAAAGGCCTCCCCACCCGCTTCAGCGTGGAGGTGGCTCAGTGCAGGGTCTCACTGGTCTTCACCCCGCGCTGAGAGAGAGAAGGGAGAGGAGACGGGTTTGGTCCCGACGCACATCCACAGCTGCCCCCACCCTGTTTCTCTGCAGGCTGCCCAGCAGCGTTTTACGGGAAGGACTGCGGGCGTGTGTGCCAGTGTCAGAACGGCGCCAGCTGCGACCACATCAGCGGCAAGTGCACCTGCCGCACAGGCTTTACCGGGCAACACTGTGAGCAGAGTAAGCGGCCCCGAGCCCTGGAGTCGATGCGGGGCCTCGGCCTCCTGCCGGGAAGCTTGCCCCTTCTCCATCCACCCATCGGGGCCCCGCACCCTCTGTTCTCTTGACTTTGGGAGCAGCTCCCAAGGAGAAAACCTGAAGGCTGGGCCTACATTGGTGTTTGAAGTTTCTTCCTCCTATTGGGGTGGGGATGGGGAAGTTGGGGCGAGCAAAGGCTTTACCGGGGGGAGGAGGAGCTTAATGAGAGAAACTGAAGCAGACCTTGTTTGATTCTTCTTTGAAACTCCTGTGGCACCCAGCTTGGGGCCTGACACTGGAGGATGCTGTGTAAATAGGGACCAGGTGAGGAGGTAGGGGTGGGCATCCCCCCACACAGGGCTATAGGTGTTGTCTTGCCCCAAGTGGCAAACCAGAACACATCACACACTACAGAGAAAGAGGCTTTACTCCATGAAAGTGAAAGTGTTAATAGCTCAGCTGTGTCCGACTCTTTGCAACCCCATGGACTTTAGCCCGCCAGGCTCCTCTGTCCGTGGAATTCTGCAGGCAAGAATACTGGAGTGGATAGCCATTCCGTTCTCCAGAGGATCTTCCCAACCAAAGCATCAAACCCAGGTTTCCTGCATTGCAGGCAGATTCTTTACCACCTGAGCCACTTCCCTGGCTTACTCCGTGAGGCAGAATGATCACTGCTGCCCACATGTGGGATGGGCGGGGTGGAGAGTAAGCACATCGCAGGCTCTCTGCCACCTCCACTTCGTGCTTCACAGGGTGTGCCCCAGGAACCTTTGGCTATGGGTGTCAGCAGCTATGTGAGTGCATGAACAATGCCACCTGTGACCACGTCACTGGCACCTGTTATTGCAGTTCTGGATTCAAAGGGATCCGGTGTGACCAAGGTAAGGCACAGACGGCAGAGTTCCCAGGGGCTAGGAAAGGGTCCCATGGAGGCAGGCTCTGGGGAGATTCCAGTGGGACTGACTGAATTGCCTAAGGACCCTTTGTGACTTCCTTTTATTCACATCTGGGAAGAGACTGGGAGTGGAATGGGGTGGGTTAGGGAGGGGTACTCAGGTGCCGGAGAGGCTGATGGAGCAGGCAGCCTCTCAGGCACTGCTTCCCTCTGCTCATCCTTGACAAGTCTTGCGAGCCAAGGAAGGGTAACCGCAGCTAGTGCTGTGGAAAGGTGAGATGAACAAGCTGGAAGCGCTGCCAGTTTCTGGTCCTGCCATGACCCACCAGGTGTGCTTGGGCAGGTCACTTCCTTTTGCTGGGGGGTCTGTTATCCCCACGCAAAGTGCAGACACAGGGTTCTGCTGAGACCCAAGGAGGCCAAAGGGGCTCATCCTTGGCTCCAGTCTATGGTCAGACAAGACCCCAGAGTGTAGTTGTGACGACCAAGTTGATATTATGTGAGTACAGGACTCAGCACGGTGCCTGGCTCGTGAGCGAGCACTGGATGAATGGTTTCTGCTGTTGGTTCTAGGAGATAGGGACGAGAATGGGCACGCAGGCATCCACAGTCCAGGAAAGGGGCAAAAGCCATTTCCACTGCGCTCTGACGGGGGATGGGGGCCAGCCCGCACATGTATCACTGAGGGGCGATGCTTTAGGGGCAGCAGTCCTGAGCACACTGGTTCAGCACTCACAGCTCTCACCGCCAGTCTGTCACTAGTGCTCACAGAGGGGTTACTGTCCCCGTGTTACAAATGGGCAGACCGAGGGCTCCGAGTCACACAGCTGGTAGACAGGGAGGGGGCTGAATCCAACTTTTCCTGACTCCTGAGAAACCCAACTCTACCAGTTACTGGTTGTGTGATCTCAAGTAAGTTACCTAACTTTTCAGTGACTCAGTTTCCTCATTTGTGAAAGTGGAATGATTAGTCTTTATTTCTTATAGGACTTATAAACACCCCTTATAGGGCTACTAAGAAGATCAAATGGGTTAATATCTGTAACTCAGTTTTAGAACAAAGTAAAATACTCACCAGACACCTATTATTCGTTTCCCATCTCTGATCACATTTGCTCCTTGTCATGACCCTGGGTGGGACTCCACCTTGGTAGACAGCTGAACACACGGCCAAACACGTAAGGGATTGAGGAATAGGGTCAAGACCTGAACCAGGGTCTCCCGACATGAGAGGAGCCTGGAGGAAGCAGGCCTGCCTCCGGCTCAGCGCTCCCTCTGTCCGCAGCTGCCCTCATGATGGAGGAGCTGAATCCCTACACCAAGATCAGCCCAGCGCTGGGTGCAGAGCGGCACTCGGTGGGCGCTGTCACGGGCATCGTCCTCCTGTTGTTCCTCATCGTGGTGCTGCTGGGACTGTTTGCCTGGCGCCGGCGGCGGCAGAAAGAGAAGGGCCGGGACCTGGCTCCCCGCGTCTCCTACACGCCCGCCATGAGGATGACCAGCACTGACTACTCCCTCTCAGGTAAGAGCTATGCCCCCAGCACCGCCCGCTGCCACCCCCAACACACACACAACCCAGCAGGAACCATGTGGTGTTCTTGGGGACCCCCAGGTTTATTGCTGCAGGTGGGTGGTGGTGGTGCCTGCAGGGCTGGCTGCTCAGCCCCTAGAGACAGAATGGCAGTGAGCAGCAGGAGCTAACTTGGAAAGGTAGACACTAACTTGGAAAGGGAATGTCACTTCCTGGGAGCCCACTCTGAACAGCTATGGTTAGCAGCTTTCTTTCATTTCTCCAGAGCTTCCCCTTCTCACTGGGCTTCAGTCACAGGAACGCCCACACGAAGCAGTAACTTTCCTAAATGCTGCAGGGGACCCTTTCCCCAGCCTCATGTCCGCACCACCTCAGGAAACCAGCCTTGGGGCCCACTGTCCAAGCCGTCTCATTTTTGCTTCCTTGGTGAAGGCCTCAGAGCACCCCTCCCTCCCAGTTTCCAGAGTTAGGAGGGCCTGATCTGTACAGTGAGACGGGACAGCGCTGAAAGTGTGGGCAATGTCCCTCAAGCCAGCCTGTTCACAAATGTGGTACCAATGCCAGCAGGCATTCGATCTGGGAGTCCGAGAAGGGTGGGGATGGAGCTCTTGGGCCAACCCTTCCTCTCCCCTAACCCTAGACTGCTGCCTTAGAAATAAGAACAGCTTTTTGCTTCATATTTCATTAAACTGAAGAGGTCAAAATGCCCTAACGTTGCCCCCAGCCCTGAGCCACAGGAGGGCAGGCCTGTCGGGGGAAGCACAGGATGCCAGCTCTCCACAGCTGGCTCCACTGCTCATGGCTGCCTTAGAAAGCCCAGAGATCGTGTCAGCCTGCTGACACATCATTCCTGCTGAGTGTGGCCTAGCATTTCCCAGCCCTGTGCTATGCAAGGCACATCACAGGCCCGGGCACAGACCCTGCCTCCTGAGAGCGCTGCTGGCCTGGTGCCACCCTGGGTTTCAGCCAAAGCTGAGGTCCTCTGATGAAGCCCCAAAGCTTGTAGATTTGGGGACTTTCTGACTATAATAAGCAAGGCTGGCTGGGTTTTCCCAGCCCATCCCACTGGGATTCCCGCGCCCAGTGTGGAAGTCCTGGGATCTACAGGAGGGCAAGGCCAGGAGTGGGGTTCTCTCTACAGCCTCACTGGGACCTGACCCTGCAGGAGGCAGAGCAGGGTCAGCTCAGCCCTACACAGTTACTCAAGGATGCTGAGGCTGTCAGACGAACACTTCTCATGCTGGTACACCGCCCACACGGGCAAGCAGGGCCAACACAAGGGAAGGGGCAAGACAGGCTCTGCAGGTTTCCAGGGGGAGCAGTAGATGCCAGGAAGCTCGGGGGATGGGGGCCTGGCTGCCTCTCTTTGCAGAGCACTCTCAAGGCGTCAGTTTAGGGGTGTCTCATGCCAGGGGCAGGGGTGTGATGGTATGTGGCACCTTGTTCTCTTCCCAGATTTGTCTCAAAGTAGCAGCCATGCCCAGTGCTTTTCCAATTCCAGCTACCACGCACTGGCGTGCGGGGGGCCTGCCACCAGCCAGGCCAGCACTCTGGACAGGAACAGCCCCACCAAGGTACCGGGCCCCTGACTCTCCCAGTCCCCATCCACTGTCCCCTCTGCCCGGGGAAGAAGTTTGCACCACCACTACCCTACCCAGGGTCTGCACGGAACCACTGCCAATACAATAAACACAGCCCTGTGATCCCACGTATGCACTCTGGGAAGCATGTAAGAGGAAGCCAGCAGGCTCTATGGAGCCAACACAGACCGTGTAATCAGTACACATCACGTGTAACCAACCCACAGCATCACTGAGTGAAACATACACCCCCATAGCCTGTGTGTAACGAGCGGCTGCCAAGTCATGTGACCATCCATAGCCTTCTTGACACACACAACCACATGACCACTCTTGCCTCATGTTAACATATATAATCAAAACACCCCACCTCTCACCACTGCAGCGTGTTACCAGCACCATGTGTGGTAACTCTGCACCACGAGTGCAGAGAGTAAGTACCAGTGCTCAGGTACCACCTGACGTCCCTGTATCCGGACACACGACGTTATCAGTACACACCCACAACATGTGTTGCTATGAAACCACCACAGGGGACATGGAAACATCAGCCACAGCCACTGTTCCCACTGACGGAGTTGGGCAGGACTTCAAGGTCAGGTGTGTACCACCCTGGACAGGGCCCTCCCTCACAGCTTCCAACAAAACACTGGCTGATGGCAAGACGTCCTTTCAGATGAGTCACAGGCCCTTGGGCAAGGACGTCTCAGCACACACATGTACTAACCCCCGCTCCTGGTGTGCCAGGACCTATAATGGGCAGAGAAGTTCAGAAATGAAAAACAGCCCCCAAAGACCACAAGGTCAAAGGGCTCACATTGCACGCACACAGACACACACACCATGGATCATGGGGGGTTGGGGGGTGGTGGTGGTGGTGGTATAATCCCAGGATTCCTGGCTTCTTGCAACTCTGTCCTGGGTCAGAAACATGTACAAGAGCACAGTTTTCATCCTCCAGGCCTGTGCCTTAGAGCTGTAGGGATCACTTCTCCTCCTCTGCCCCCAGAGAAAACATCCACAGACCACAGATCCAGTAGGAATGCATCCTGAACTCCCCCCCCAGGCAACAACAACACAGACCCCGTACAGCCCCAAGAGCCACTACTAAGCCAGCACCCAAAGGCCACTCTTCAGGGCTCTCATCTTCGGTTCTCCTATGGAATAGGAGTGTTGCATGCAAGGGGGCCTTGAGGTCCACATGCAAAGCCTGTGACCATCAGCTCCACACCCAGCTTCACAGCTTTAGGCCTATCTGAGGAGCCAAGGGAAAGGAATCCAGAAGTTTCCCAGTAGGAGGCCCTTGATTAATAACAGCCATGTTATCAAGGCTACAGCAGACGAGAGGCAAAGAATGCCAGGGATAAGAGGCCAAGTCCCTGTGTCCCTGTCATTCCTGTTCTCATTCTAACAGCGAAGTACCAGCCACCCTCTTTCACTAAGTCAGGGGGTGGAGTTACTACCGTGCAGCCCACTTGGTGGTCCTCTGGCTCGCTTCACCCTAGGGCCCCAAAGTGCTTCTGTGTGGTCAGAAACCCTCAGCCTAGCAGACGTGTAGCAGGGGCAAGCAGCTGTGATGACATGGAAAAGACACGGGTCTAGGAGCTGAGACCCAGCTCTTCTGTGACCATGCGCAGGGCCTGCGAGCAGGACTCGGGTCCCCAGCTGTGAAATGAGGACAACGATCCTTGCCTGACATGAAGGGCAGCTGAGTGCAGGAAGGAGTACCACAGGGACACCGTATCCTGACGCCTCCCCCTGGTCACAGGAAAGGGAGGCTCTCCCACTCAGCCTGGATCAGGTGGCAGAGGGGACACTGATGTTGCAGGCAGCCTCAGTGCCTCCCCCTCTGCTGGAGATGGCCTCATGCTGCAGCTGAGACACTGCCAACACCCTGTCTCCCGCAGCTTAGCCCCACCCAGCTGACCTGCTTCCCCCGTCAGGGCCAGCTTGGCTCAGGTCAGTTCTTGGCTCCCCTTTGTCCCAGGGGCCTGGCAGCCCTACAGCTTCAGCCAGACAGCTTAGATGGGGACATATGCTCGGCTTCCCCTGGGCCCAGCCACACCATGGTGGCCTGTCATGGAACACTTACCTCTTCCATCCAACGACCTAGCACCTAGGTGGGTCAGGGTCATCACAGGGGTGGTACATGCGGGTGGGCAAAAGCAAAGGCTGGGCAGGGGCATCTCAAGGGCACTAGATATTAACTTGTTCTCCTGCTTTCCAAACAGCTCAGTAACAAGTCCCTTGACAGAGACATTGCAGGCTGGACCCCCTACAGCTATGTGAACGTGTTAGGTCAGTAGTGGTTTGAGTCTGGTCCCTGGCCATCATGTCCCGCCATCTTCTTCTCCCACACTGACAGGGGCCCTGTACCAGCTCCAAGGGAGAGTTAGTAGATAAATCTTAAGCATGATTTCCCCCGGGAAAAAGGGGTGTGGGGAGGAAACCCAAGCCCCTATTTCAGTTCTCATACGTAGATGAAGTCCAGGGCCCCTTTCATTCCTATTAGGAGATAGGAGAGGGTGGCTGTGACCCAGGACCACAAGGGAGAAAGCTCGGGCCCAGATGTGGGGGATTCAGGTTGGAGGCAAAAGATGCACTTACCATCTGGGAAAGGGACCCGCTGCCTGAGCCAGGCCCTACTACCAAAGTGCCCCATTCAAGGGCTTCTTCCCACTGCCATGGGGACACCAATTCCTGTGGGGGGTGGGGCGAGGGATGGGGGTGAGAGACAGGCAAGGCCATTTGGCCTCAGCTCTTGCAAACCCCCCTGACCCCACTGGCTCTAGGCTCCCTTGGATGCTACACACGGAAGCCCTAATTCCCTTCAACCTGCTCCACCCTGCCTCTTGCCCCCCCTCCCAACCCTCCCCTGCCATACCAGGGCCCTGGGAATAATGGCTGCTCCCTGTCATTCCTCTCACTAGACTCCCATTTCCAGATCAGTGCCCTGGAGGCCAGGTACCCGCCCGAAGACTTCTACATTGAACTTAGACACCTCAGCCGCCCCGCTGAGCTACACTCGCCAGGTTAGACTCCCAGCCCTACCCTCTATCCCCTGGACCCCTGAGGTCATCCTATCAGACCAGACCCAGCCCCTACCCCAAACCCCTTCCTACCCCTTAACCCACTCCCATGGTCCCAAAACTCTCCCTATTGAGCCCCTTCCCTCTGACAAGCCTAGATAGTTCCCCATGGAAAGAAGGAAACCTATCTGGATTCCTCAATCATTCCCGCTATCATGCTCAGTGGATATGTACAAACTGCAACTAGTTTTACGTGGAGGGAACCCAGCATAACCACACTCCCTGCAGCACGGAATACAACCCCAAACCACTGAGAAATGACTTGGGGATGGCCACATCTTTGGGCCCATGGGTGTGGATGACAGAGTTGACAGAGACTTTGGCCAAAAAGCCCAAAGTCCCCCAGAGGGAGAGCCCAGACCAAGCACTCCTAGGTCAAAGGGCAGGTGGTCCAGTAGGGATCTAGAGAAGTTGAGGCCAGATGTGTTAACCAACATCCTCTGTGCCCACATATTAGGCTCAAACCTGGTAGCTTGGGAAAAGATGCAAAAAGGAGACTCTGAAGGTCAGTCCCTACTGTGGGAGGAGGTGGGATAGGAGTTACCGAAGTAGGTACAATGAACAACCAGAATTTGGGCTCCCAACCAAGTGCCCCTGCCCTTGAGGGCACCCTGAACACCCTCGGGGCCTAAATTCAGGCTCGAGCTGGTTTCTAGAGCTCAACTGAAATGCAGCTCTAGCAACCCCTGCAGGTCTCTGGGTCCAGGGACAGTAAGAAGAGCAAAGGTCTGAACTCATCTACCCAGGTACGGGCTTCAGAAACCCGGGGCTTATACCCAGGAGGCTGTGCTCCTGGCTGTCAGCCCCCTGAGCAGTGCTCAGAATATTCAACAATCCCACAGAACACAATGCCCCCCCCCGCCCCCCGCAACACACACACAACCACCACCCTGTCCCCTTTCCACCTGGACGCGTCCTCTGGGCTCAGCCCAGCTCTGTCCCCTCAGCCACCACACGTCATTTCTGGCTTACACCACGGCGGGCTGGTGAACAGTGGGAGAGAGCACGTCAGGACATCTGGGTTCTGTGTGCAGCTCAACTTCTCACTTGTTGGTGTGGTCTCAGACAAGTCATCGCCTTTCTTTGAGTCTGTATTCTGTTCTATAAAACGGGGCTAACCTTGTAATAGCCTGGCCTCCATCCCTCGGGGAGGGCAACGGAAGCCCTGGTCCCAGAATAAAGTGCTGAAGTGATGCCAGGGGTTCAGACTGTCGCAGTGCTGTTCCTAAAGGGCACAGGCACCTATGGGTCCTTTAGAAGAACAGCAACCTGGAGCAGACCTGGACCTGGCTCTGCTCCATCGCTCAGTGCTGTGTGGAGGGCAGGGAGGGAGGAGCAGGCTTCCACAAACTCCACTAGGGAACTCTAACTGGAGGAGGCATGAGGAGGCATCGGAACGGCCATGTGTTGGTCTTCAGTTGGTCTTAACTGGGGAGAGTTAAGTGGAGTCTAACTGTATTTTAGTAAGCACTTGCTGCATCCCTGGACTAATACCGCAGCCTCAGTTAAAAGCTGGGGGGAAAAAATGGCTTTGACTGTGAGTTCAAGTCACTACTGTCTGAATTCAAAATATCATATAGTTTCTTTTCTGGGATCACCAGCAGCAAAGAACCTGAGCTTGGTCCCTGAAGTTTCATGTCCTTCCTGCCTCTGGCTGGTGCTGAGGACCATGCATTGTGGGAGCCTAGGATAAACTGTGGTAGCCAAAAGGGAAAAAAGAAATCCTTGGGATTGAAAAACACTGGTAATATTGTTCAAAGACAACTCTCAATTATGTGCTAAGAGTCCACCCAAAAAAGTGGGGCAGGGGACTAAAAGAGCTGACTGGCTGGGAATGACTATATAACCTATACAGAGGACTAATCAAGAACCTCAGCTGCCTCTGGCTCCCCTCAATTGAGCACTGGATCCACAAGGGGAAAGACAGGCAAGACTAGAACTATGAGGCGAGAAAGTCTTCACCTCCATTCCAAAGTCCAACAGAACTGGGATTTGGAGTCATACACCCTTCCCCCAAGCTAAGAACTGGTCCTGATTCATTCCCTATCCTATATTCTTGGAACCTGGAACTTCACTTAGAGTGACTGTAGGTGGCATCAGAACTGCCTGTGATCGTCTCCAGGAAAACATTCCCCCCAAAAAGGTTACAGAGCAGTAGTGCTAAATATGCAGGGGGTGATAGAGCTCACCACTTACGCTTAGGAGCTTTTTAAAGAACTCTCGTATGGTCAAGATGATTTAGAGGAGATTAAACCCCGAGTAATTTTCTAGCACTAAAGAACTATTTTCTGGGTAGGAAAGAACAGGATAAAAAAAAAAGAATACACATAGTCTAAGTAAACCTCATTCACCCCTCTATTTTTCTTTCCTTTTACTATTTTTATGCAGGTGCTTGTGGGATGGATAGACGTCAGAACACATACGTTATGGACAAAGGCTTCAAAGGTAGAGTATCTAATCATGATGCCCCCTTAGGAAGGCTAAGAAAGATAAAGGATGCAAATCTGAAATTGACAGGGTTTCTACCAGAGACAAAACTACGAATTTCTTCCCCCTACTCCCCAAAAAAGTTAAAGACCACACAACCTGGGACGGCTGGGTAGCTCTGCCCAGGAGGAGCAATCAATAATAACGATTTCATCTTTTGATTTCAGTTGCACCTGCTTAGGAAATGCTTGTGGCTTTTTTTATAGATGCCAACTAAATGTCTTCGGAAATGCAGAACGTCATTATCCTACCAATTAGTATGAGTTCAATTGATTATGAAATCTGAAATAAAGTCTATCTACTTGCCCCAGAGGCCTCCTGTCATTGCACTGGCGAGGAATGCCACCCTGCACCTGCAGGCTTTCTGGGGCAAAAGGAATGAAAATGACACCTAGTGTTACTATTGTGCGATGCTCCACCCTTACGAGGTCTCTGTCCCATAGAGGAGGGAAGCAAGGACTAATCCCCAGCACGTGAGAACTGCAAGTCAGATCATCCTTCTAGGAAGTATACAGATGAAGCCACAGATGAAAGGTCAGGTCCTTTCCCAGGCTTAGGGCCTAGGTTTAAAATGATACAATGTATGAAATAGGTGGCTTTGAAATTATATCACTTATTAACTATGACAAACCTCTCCAAGGCCCAGTTTCCTCAATTACAATGTTGAGATAAGTATGCTTGTCCTACGGTCTAACAAGGTTATCCTGAGTATGCAATAAAAATCACAAATTAGAAGAGTTTTTGCATACTATACAGGATTATACTGATGTAACAGAGTTGTCCCTTTGTCTCTGAAATGTATTCAAGAATCTCAGCCAGGGACTTCCCCGGTGATCCAGTGCCTAAGACTCTATGCTCCCAATGCAGGGGGCCTAGGTTCTATCCCTGGTAGGGGAAGCAGACCCCACTTGCCACAACTAAGATCTTGCATAGCCAAATAGAATTTTAAAAAAAGAAACTCAACCAAACTGAAAGAGACAGGACTTACAGCAACGATCCCAGTGGATATCCTAAATCTACCTGTGTACCAGAATCACATGGAAAGCTTGTTAAAAAATACAGATGCCCACACCCCGCCTCCCCAAGATTCTGATGCAATAGATCAAGAGTGCTGAGTGCCTCAGGGTAATCCATATAGCAGATCACCTAACACAAACCACTGGTCTAGACGGACTTAGATTTCCCATCAGATTTAGACTAAGATATACCTGAGACACAACTATTTCCTAACCAAGGAGAGCTAGTCATATACAGCCCTTTGTGGGGTGGTTATTAGAAGTAGGGTGTGCTAGGGGCAGGTGGCGGTGAGTGCTGTGTTCTGAACAGAGCAGGAAGAACAAGTCTCCACCAGTACATGTTAAGATGTACACTGCCCAAGAGAACGATCCGAGGACAGGAGGCCACCCATAGGCTCCTGGCAGCCAAAGAACCCTATACCCTTGGGAGCATCATTCTGGCAATTTTTTTGTTTTGACTTAGACCACCCGAATGAGAGCAAGCACCATCACAGTAGATGAAGTTAAACAACAGAAAAGACAACTATACCATTTCATCACCATGATCTTGGACTTGTTTCTTAAAGAGGCCTGGGAAACTGGAAAAACATCTCTAAGGGCCCTTGACAGCTCTGAGAATATCCATGACTCAAGCTTGAATGAACTCAGACAGGCCCAGACACCTCAGTACATGAGCACACACTTCCCAATGCACTTTGTGTCCTGCGCATTGTGGTAGGAGTTGTTACTCGCAGCCATGAATGTGAAAGAGTTAAGGACAGCAGTGTCCCAGCCTCGGTGTCATTCACTCGTTTTGTGGGATCATACATCTGAGTCTTAGTGCAGGGGAGGCCGAGCAGGCTAGCAGCCAGGTTTCATTTCATCACCCTGACTATAAATCTCATCCTCTAAATTGGACAGAAAAGAGGGCTATATAGGCAACTGTACCAACAGGTATTAGGGATCAACACACCAGAAACCAGAGGAAAACAGAACATCACAGGTCAGAGCTTTACAGAAACACATATCAAAGACATGGAATAAACCGCACCAACTGGTTGTCCCCAAAAAAACATTCAATAAACAAGTTATGTACCAGGAATGGAACTGTTTCCTAAAACTACTGGGCCAGACCAAATCAGTGGTTACCAGAGTTAAGAGTCTTAGTGTTCTCTGAACTCAGTGGGAAAGAGACCTGATCTGGGAGTTAAAAGATTTGGGTTCTATGGGGGAATTCCCTGACAGCCCAGTGGTTAGGACTTGGCACTTTCACTGCCGGAGCCCACGCTCAATCCCTAGTTGAGGAATACATGCTAAATCTTAATGTAAATCAGTCAGTGCTCCCTTTCTTCCGTTACTTCCTGAAGGCCTCCCCTCACTGTCATCCAGGAGGTTGCATGAGACCACTCATACTGCCGTGCTAACCCCATTTTATCTCTAAACACCTTTCCATCTCTCCTTCCCCTTCCCGACCCTCAGCACAATTATTCTCCAACAAACTGCTTCACGACAGCACTTACGTCATGCATTTCAAAGTGCTATAGAAGAAGTCCTCCCCACTAGTCTCCATCACCCTTATCCTGAAATCCTGAGTCCTGCTGCTGCCACTTTCCCCACCTGTATGGCCCCTGCTAATCCAACCTCCAGGTGTCTTCTTGCAGCAACCTTGGCTTCCAAGGTAGTCAGGAGCTCACTGACATCCTGAAAACTTTTCTCAGCCAGTTTTTCCCCCTCCCTCCAGTTCTCCTTATGGCCCTGAGATCTCCCCAACTCCTCTCCCCAGTCCTTCTCTCTCAATCAAGAGAAAGGTTGAGAAGTCAGGGCCCAGGAAGAGAAAAGGCAGTGCAGCCTCCTAATATGAGTAGGCTGAGAAGAAAAGAGAAGGCTGGGGTTGGGTTTCCCTGTTGAATCAAAGTTAAAGAATCCGCTTGCCAAAGCAGGAGACTCAGGTTGGACCCCTGGATCAGGCAATCCCCTTGAGAAAGAAATGGCAACCCACTGCAGTACTTTTTCCTGGGAAATTCCATGGACAGAGGAGTCTGGTGGGCTACAGTCCATGGGGTTGCAAAGAGTCGGACACAACTTAGTGACTGAACAACAAAGGCTAGTGTTAAGTTCAAATCCTACTCACAAGGTGGCCTTGGAAAGTCATTTTCCCTCTCTGGATTTGCTGCTTCCATTATAAGATGATGTTTCAACCAGCTCATTTCAGAGACCCCTTCTGCCTCTGATGGTATGTGGCTGTATGTGATTTGGGAGAGGTAAGAACTATGTGAGAAGCAGTGCCAGGGCATTATAGGGCTACATCTGCAGGCTTGATGCTAATTACAGGCCTTCAAAGAGTGACTCCCCAGAGCTTGGGTAGCCTTGTTTGAAGCTTCCCTTTTCTTTGCAACACGCCCAAAGTGCAGACACTGGCAGAGAAGTGGGGCTATAAAGAGATGAGGAAGTGTCCTAGAGCAGCTGGTTCTCTTCCCCTGGCCCCGCCCTCCGCAGGGCAGGCAGGTAGATGACTCAGCTGGAGAAAGGAGGAGCTTCCTGAAGTACAGTCTTCCAGCTGGCCTTGCCCTCCATCCAGTCCTCAGAAGTAGAATCCAGATTATTCTATATTTCAACACCCTCCCAACGCTACCTCAAATCACACACGCACATGCGCACACACTCTTCTCCATCATTTTGTCTTTACCTCTGGCCCCTTTATGGATGATACAGCTGCTCCCTGAGACTAGCCCCCATTCCCACAAAACCCAGCTTCTCTTGTATTCATTTAGGTGCATTCCCTGCTACAGAGCAAACTATTTCCCCCAAACTTGAAAGCAGCCAACTTTTCTGGTGGATACAAGAGGAGCACTACTGGTTGGCTGAATCACTGTTAGGCAAGGAGCTAGAGTGTCAAGGCTTTCCCACTGCTGTAACAATTGGTCATGGGATGTCCACAAAAAGCCTACAGCTTGGCTTTCTCAGCAGAACTGGGCCCCATAGGTAAAACACCTTCCTTGTTGAGGGTGAACTGTGTCTTTAGATACAGATACAGTTTGCGGTTAGGATATAAGAGAGGAAGTTGTGGCTAAGTCAGGTCCAACCCTTCTGTGACCCCATGGACTGTAGCCTGCCAGGCTCCTCTGTCCCTGGAATTCTCAGAGCAAGAATACTGGAGTGGGCAGGCATTCCCTTCTCCAGGGGATCCTCCTGACCCAGGAAGGGAGCCCCAGTCCCCCAAATTGCAAGAAGATTCTGTACCATCTAAGCCACCAGAGAAGCCCATAGATAGGGTAACAAAGTGTGAGGGGAAAACATCTTGACTGGGTATCAGAGAAGGTAGGGGTTGTCCTAACTTACTAACATTAGGCAAACTTTATGAGCTGTAGCTTCCTCATTTCTAAAGTAGTAATACTAGTCCTTACTGCCTGGGCCCCCTGCACAGATGTAACAAGAATCAAATGATCTAACTGGAGTGAGTGGAGACCAGCTACATGTGCTATAAAGCGAGCTATCACTAATCATCCAATTTTAGAAAATATGTAACTGGGTCAGGTGCCAACCAAAGCAAAAGGATGTGCCTGCATGGGGAGGAGGGGCGAGGTGTAGGACTTTCCACTCAGGGAGTAGCCCTTCTTTAAGCAACACTGGAAGGCCTCAGCTTCCACATGAGCAGCTGAGTCATATACTGCCTTACTACTTGGCTGGTAAAGTCAGAGAACCTCAAGTGGGAACAGTTGGCCAGCTGGGGTTCTTGGACTTCATTAACCCCAATCCACTTATACTAAGGAACAAAGTATTAACTAGAAGCAATTTTATGTGGCTCAGGTAGGTCATGACCAAGGACCCACAGCCACCTTCCCCCCATGAGCATCTCACCAGCAGTTAGGCCAATCCAGCCTCCCTTTAGTCTCTGCTAGGGCTGGCTGTGACTGCTATCTAGCAGGGATGTTTTCTCGGGACTTCCCTAGTGGTCCAGGGGTTAAGAATCAGCCTGCTAATGCAGGGGCATGGATTGGACCTCTGGTCCAGAAAGATCCCACCTGCCAGGAGCAACTAAGCCTGTATGTCACAACTACTGAAGCCAGCCCTCGGAGAGCCCGTGCTCCACAGCAAGCCACCACAATGAAGAGCTGCCTCCACTCACCACAACTAGAGAAAAAGCCTGAGGGCAGCAACGAAGACCAAGGACAGCCGAAAATAATTTTTTAAAAAATAATGTTTTCTCCTCTCTAGGGTTCTAGGCTAGAGAGGGCACGAACTAAGAACGGACCCAAGGCTCACATCTCTCTCTCTCTGACTGTGGGCTAAGTTGTGACACAATGTGCTCTGAGCCTGGTTCTGGAGCTTGCTTTAATACCGACGAGCAGTGTGACCCTGGGGAAGTCACTTCCCTATTCAAACCTCAATTTCCTCATAAGCAGCAAAGCGGAAGGGGAAATGATAATTACTGCTGTGCCTACACTAGAAGGAACTAATAGGTGAATGCAGTTTGTACAAGATTGAGGAAACATTAATTGTGAAAACAAACATAAATAATCCTACACTAACAAAGTGTTAGTCGCATCTGACTCTGCAAACCCATGGACTGTAGCCTGCCAGGCTCCTCTGTCCATGGGATTCTCCAGGGAAGAATACTGGAGTGGGTAGCCATTCTCTTCTCCAGGGGATCTTCCTGACCCAGGGGTCAAACCCAGGTCCCCCGCACTGCAGGCAGATTCTTCACCAACTGAGCCACCAGGGAATCCCAACCAAAAAAAGTAAATCCCTCCAACCAGTTCCCTGCTGTGGGAGAAGACTCCTGTGGTGGCACCCATGTCAACTACTGCAGTCACGTGCACTGTTCTGCCCTCACTGGAGGTACCTCCAGTCACCTCTTGAATTACATTACCACTTTCACTTCTTTACATTTTTATTAATTTCACAAGTTGGAGGCAGAGGCATAGATAAAAAGCAGTCCAAAATGTAATCTATGGTGGTTCTAGGGAAAGATCATCTGAAAATTTTACCATCTGCTACCACTTATAGAAATTTAGAGCTGAGAAATAGAGAAATTTCACCATCTGCTACCACTTAAAAGAAATTTAGACTTCTTAGATCACTCTTGACTAAAGTCTCTGCAACTCAGTGCTTATTTCTAGAGGCCCCTGGCTGGCAGAGCCTCAGAAGGAGGGCCAGAGCTGCCAGATTAGTCTCCTGCTTTTCCTGGGCAAATTCTGCCACATTTGAAACGATCAACAAGAGGCAGTAATTTTCCCCCAAAAGGGAAAAATAGACTGAAGGAAGGGTTCCCCTTTCCTTGCGACTCCCAGTCACAATGAAAACCTTCTTCCTCCAGTGAGCTACAGTTACCTTGCTTCATATTTGGAAATTAGTTTGCAACCTTTCATACCCTAATATACTCTGAAGTCTTAGGGATGACACACCTGAGAGATGCTATGAGTTCTCCTGGTATCAGAGAAAGATTCTGCTAAATTAGATTTCAGTGAGCATTCACAAGAACAGGAGTAAGTGACCCCACAAGATATACTGCAGGCTTGCTAGAAAGCAGGAACTTCCCAAAGCCTAGCTTAAAACCGAGGTACTTTTTAAACCTGTTACACTTCAACCTGCCCTGCCTCTGATCATGAGCTTCGCAAGAGCATGGATACTACCTGTGGGCTGCCTAAAGGTTGCCAGACTGCTGACACTTGTGCCAAATCACACACCTACTGCTGAACCTAAGCTTAGCCGTCAAAAAGAATTCAGAAAAATTTTGTCACAGAAAACATACAAGCCAAGGAGTCCTGAGGCATGGATTCAAGTACTGGCACTGCCATTCATGTGCCATGTGACCTTAGGCAAGTCACTTCCGCTCCCTGGGCCATCATCCTCTAAAATGCAAAGTCAACTATCCTTGCAGGATTTTGTAAAAATTAAGTAACAGATGTGAAAGCACATTATGAATATCTTGAATTAATCCCTCTCTGATGCTCTACCTGACTACTAAAACAAAAAAGTTCTTATCCCTCCAAAAACATGTTTCTTTAAAAAAAAAAAGAACTCTGCTTATCTCACAGAAAGCATTTCTCAACATAGTAAGTGAATCTTAGACTGTCATAGGCACTTACAACTTCACAAGTCTGACAGCACATAAACTGTACTCTGCTTTTGGTATTTAAGCGTATGTCCTTGTTTGTCCTAAGAAATTTCTCTTGCCTTACAGATTACATGAAAGAATCCGTGTGCAGTTCTAGCACTTGTTCCTTGAATAGCAGTGAAAACCCTTATGCCACAATTAAGGACCCACCCATCCTCACCTGCAAGCTTCCAGAAAGCAGCTATGTAGAAATGAAGTCGCCTGTGCACAGGGGGTCTCCGTACACAGATGTGCCATCCTTGTCGACATCTAATAAAAATATATATGAAGTTGGTAGGTGTCTCAAATAAGTAACTTAGTGAAAGCAAGGCACTAGTGCAGCATCTGAAGTAAAGTCAGCCCTCTCCAGTCCCCTTTTTGAAAACATCCCCTTCTTTTGTTGTTTTTTTAAGAAATTCAAAGTGAACTGTCTTTCCCAGCACCTCTATCCACTCTCAAACAAGAAATCAAATTCTTGTGCCAACTCTGCTTTTTAAAAAACACTAAGTATGAAGCAGCAACACTGGGGGTGGGGAGCTGATACACACAAACACACTCTTCAACTGATTGTTGACCCAAATTCCTGTTTAAAACAGAAAACAATCAGAACAGACAGTTTGCAAGTTTTGAAATTACCTTGTTCTACTTTCTCCCAGTTGAACCCATGTCCCTGGGTTCACTGATAATACTACCGGTAGGATATTCTAAGTCCCTTGGTTTTGACCAGAGCTTGAGATTCTGATAGCACACTCACTTAGGTTTTCAATCTCTTGAACAAGCCTCAGTCCTAACCCTCATACACTTATCCTAAGTCCTTAGTTTCTCTCCCCAAGTTAAATAGAATTCTCTTCCCCCGCCCAATGAGGCAACTAAAGCTAATCTGTTCTCTGAACTCATTTTTCACTATATTCCTTAGAGCCCACAGTCAGTGTGGTCCAAGAAGGCCGCGGTTGTAACTCCAGCTATATCCAGAATCCATACGACCTACCTAGGAACAGCCATATTCCTGGTCATTATGACCTTCTCCCAATAAGACAGAGTCCTGCCAGAGTGCCATCCCAGGACAAGCAGTCTTAAGAGGGATAAGCGCTCTGCTGAATATTCTCTGACTCTCTGAAAGAAGACAATCCCTTGACTTGAAATAATGGTACAGACTGACTCCAGCTGCGTATTAGTTATAACATTCACCTGGAACTAAAGAAGAGCTTCCAAGGGACTGGGTTAATTGTTCAAGAGGTCTGTTCTCAAAATCTACCACCCACCCATCCCCAACCCCAAATGTTCTGGATGATATGATCTTTTAAAACATTTAAGATACAGCTACTCATCAACATCAGCTAAATATATATATATATATTTATATATTAAATTATCTGAAACATGATGCTTAGAAAGCATGCAGAATAGGTTTTACCAACTTTCCTAAGAGGAAAAGGAACTGGGGAGGTGAGGGGATTACTTTGAGGCACCTGAAATGTATATGTACCTTTAATTTAGTTCCTGTTACCCTCAATTATCTGCTTTATTGCCGAAGATAATTAGTACATAGACACAAACTGTGCTGATATCAATCCTAAAGCACCTGTACATGTATGTCAAGTCACACAAATTATAACAGCCCAGCTTACAGAGTTTAATATATAGTCTAATGCTGACAACTTCAATTTTTTTTAAATAAAACTTTAAGAAACACAAATTAACTCTCCCCCTTCTGCCCCTGGTAGTAGTAGAAGAAAAAAGTTTCCAGAGTGCAGCAGCCTCTTTCAGTCAAACAATGATTTCTAAGCCAGCTTTACCAAATCTTGCCAATTCAAAGTTCAAGAACACTGCAAGCCGATCCCAGCCTTCTTGTTATCTCCTTAGCTATCCAATTCCTGAGTCATTCCATATGAAATAAAACTCTGAGATGATGCCTTTCAGCAAGCAGTCATAGACTGGTAGGAATTAAATATCCCTACAAATGGTTACTTGGCCTCCTGAATTTATTTTGGTTGGCATTATGCTTTCAAGCATTTCTTCATAAATCTTGAGCTTGATGTAGTATGGAACCTAAAAGTGTAGAAGAGATTAGACTCCCACTTTTAGGAAGTAGAAATCCACTTCCTAAAAGTGGATATAGGAAGTTTAAGTTGTTAAAGCGCATTATGCTTTTTGATGGAACTAAATGAAATGACTAAAGAATGGACTGTAACAAACTGCCGTGGCATGATGTAAAAACTTTACATGAAGTACTTCCACCTTCCAAGCACCACCTGCTGAGAAGGCCGAAAATGTATTACAATGAGCTTAATGCCCCTGATTCCAGTATTTGGTCTATCTGTATGTTCCACTTTAATGAATATAAGTAAACTAGAGCTCAGATGGGTCAAAAAGCTACCACTCCCAAACCCTACAGAGGACCTCCTCGCAAGAATTGAAGAGCAAAAGGGCAAACTGAGATAACCAACCGCCACCCCGATACCACTCCATTCCCTGATCAACAGTCCAGGCCATAAAAAACACTTCCAAAAAGGTATACAGAAGAGGAACCAAGTGACTGTAAATGACTGCAAAGCTGGAACAGCTGCTACAGGAAATGTGGGAGTTCTGAAACCCTTGACACGCTGGAAGTCTGCCATGGAACCCATTAGTTTGGGCAATAACCAGCAAAAGAAAGAAAATAAATGAGTAAACCTCCCTCCCCCACTTCACTCAAGGCATAAACCAATTTTATTGTAAGGGGAAAATATAATACTTACATGAATGCTGCATGTGTGCATGGGAGCAAGTGATCAGCAATAGCAGATTTACTTTCCAAAAAGCCTTATTAAAATATAAATACTAGAAAATTACTTTGTAGGCCCAAGGAAATGTTTCTCATACATATGTAGAAATATAGATAAGAGACTTACCTCGGTATTTCAGGGCAACAAGTGCTCAAGTATCTTGTCAAGTAAGGATCTGGAAGCATGGTGAAGTCAGACCAACAGGAGGAACTTGTCTCAATCCCAGGTTTTACCTTCTTCCCCACCCTGCGTCTACAGTAACTGCTGCCTGACAAACAGCAAACAAGCAGCATCACTCGCGTTTCACGTTTCACCTCTTTTTTGCTGAGTATCTTCTGGGCAAAATTCAGCAAGAGGTGACATGGTGGAACTGCAAAAGCACTGGGTCAAGATTAGTTACTTGCCCTCTCTGGGTTCCTTTTTTCCCCATGTATGAAAAAAAAAGGGAGAAGCAGAGCCGGGTAAGGGAGCTCTAACAACCCTTTAGCCCTAGCACTCTATGATAATTTTCAAAGAAATGTAATACAACTCAAATCAGGCAATACAATGGAGAAGGGAAAGACACAGTGTGATTAATCTATTGTGACAACAGCAGCCTTCACATATCTAAGAGTTACTGATAAAAGACATTTCAATCTAAGAGAGCAACTGCTAGGAACTTCTGTCTAGCACTGTCACAAACAGGTTCATGGTCAACCTAAACACGTGCACTGTACATTATATTGGCAACTTGGAAAAATCTGTTCAATTACTTTACAGAAATTAAGTTTTGACTCAGTGATGTGCATATAATTCAAATGAATAAGAAAAACACAATTATTGTACAATAGCGTAATGCAACTATGAAATGGCAATACTTTTTTAAACAATCCAGATTTGTAATATATTTGTTCACTGTGCAGAGGGATCATACCTTGTACCAAATAAAGTGGATTTCTCAAACTAATTTAACAAGAATGCCTACTGTTGTGCTGCACACTGAAAATGTGTCTATAATCTACACCTTAGGTTTAAAGGTACAACTAACACATTTTGTGTGGCCACTCTAGAGAGCCAGAAAAGTGAAACTCATCCTGATAAGGGTTTGAAAATAAAGTGAAAAGGTTCTATCAAAGTTATAAGAAGAGAGTCTCTTCCTTTAAAGTAATGAATGGGAACAACACATTCATGCCCAAAAACTGTTGAAAAACTGCACACACATCAGTATACTCAAATAGAGAATTCCTCTGCTTTCACAAATATTTGGACTCAAAGACAACTATCACAACTTGTGCTCAGCTCCAAAGGCACAAAGGTTCTTCTATGGAAAGGCATAAAGGCAAGTGTAATGGCCACGTAATTTGTATAAGTGTAATGAATAGCTGTCTGCCAGCAGAAGTTGTCACCCACTATAGTACTCTGGATGCATCTGTTTTAGGATCTTTTAAAACATATGCTTGTGACCTAACTGGTAAAGAAGCAGCAGAATTAATTTTGTAATAAAATACAGATACTAAAAATAGCTTACTGAATGCATTCAATGGTGTTTGTTTAAAATTTCTCCCTTTTATTTTCAAAGTTTTATATGTACTCCTCAAACTTAAGTGAAACTAAAGCCTTTCAACTTGTCAGTTCACGAGGCTTAATGTGGTGGTCAAATCAACTTAATAAAATGCCTAACCAAAAATAATGTATTTTTGCAATTTAGAGATTAAGACTCATTCAGAAAAGATACGACAGACAATCCTCAAAACAGGGAGGCTGGGGCTTTGACATCTAAGTGAAAGATAATACATAATCAAGAGTTGTAAGGCTAAAAAAGGTATTTACTGAGAATAACAGTGTTTTAAGTCTATGACTTACGAGACTCAGAATACCACCCAATACCATAAATGATAACAATAAATGATAAATGATAAAGGCAGCAGGTTGTGCACTCAATCACTGCAAGCTGTGCACTCAATACAGAAGATTCTAGAATGATACTACTAGCCATTCATGAAGCCAGAGGAAAGACAGAAGAGGCCCAATTCATCTGTATATGGCAACAGAAGATGGAAAATCTCAGAAGGGGTAGATGATGGATACATAAAGGATTCATTATATGATTATTTATACTTGCATATAATAATTATTAGGGCTTCCCAGGTGGCTCAGTGGTACAGAATCCTCCTGCCAATATAGGGAATGTGGGTACAATCCCTGGATTGGGAAGACCCCCTGGAGAAGGAAATGGCAACCCACTTCAGTGTTCTTGCCTGGGAAATCCCTTGGACAGAGGAGCCTGGTGGGCTACCGCCCAGGGGATCACAGTCAGTCAGACTGAGCACGTATGTAACAAATACTATATACTATTTATGTAGTAATTTTATATAAAATTTTTTAAAGATGCTTAATCTAAATGGTAATTCTCAGACTATAGCTCCCAAGCTAAACTAGAATGAACCCTAGGATTTGGCCCTTCACTCTTTCCCATGAGCCTTCTTTATTGTTTCAACACAGGGTTGTAGGAGAAATAAACATTAGGAATCTAAGTATGAACAAAGCACTTTCCTACCTGTGTGGATCTTACAATATAGCAGGGATAAATACAGAGCCCTGGTGATTCAGTGGGGTGGTGACTATATATTTACTTCTTTCTAGCTTTCTGCAAAGCTAGAAAGACTCTGAGCAGTGGTTCAGTCCAAACCCACAGGAGGAGGAAGCTCTAGTCTATAGCAACAGTTGTCAGATTACCTCTTCATTCCAGTTTCTGCCTCCAAGGGCGCTGTTTAGCCCAGCAGATGGTCCTGCGGAGCCTTGGGAGTAAGTGCTGAAAGCAGTAATCTTGCTCATGTGGATGGGGATAACAGGGTCTGAGATTTTGTGGTCTAAGGCAAGGTTAAGTTACAATGACTCAAACACAGGAAAGGAATCCTGTTGGCTATTTTCACCACCATCACTGGTACTGATAACAGAGTAGGTAACAGCCAACACACAAGACATCTGTGCCAGGACCTATCAATTCTATGCTTAATTATGTTATATAATTCAATCCAAATGTGGAGACTACTAATAATTAAATTACAAGTTTTTAAAGGTTCTCTCTCTCAAACACAATTATATTTCAAAGTATATATTAAAAGCCAGCAGAATTTTAACAGTAAAAGCCCAAAAAACAAGCAATTCTCAGTTCACAGTTGACAAAGCAGCCCCTCAAGTGTTTCTCCCCCCATAGTACATATGGTACTTTGATGCATATTGTTGAAACTGACAGTCATTCTGCAAATGTTCTGAAAGCTTTCGTCTTATTTAATGGCATTAACATGGAAATAAAGATAGGATTTTAATCAAGTTATTGTAAGACCAAAAACATCTTGCAAAGTGTACATCTGATTTTAACTTAGCTATTAAATTTAAATTTTAGTTAGAATGTATAATAATTTGGCTCTAGTACCTGAAAAATGCATACATTCATAGGATTGCTGAATTAAAGCTAGGATACACCCCCAAAATGATCTAATCCAGTCCTCTGGAGAAAGTGAGGCTCAGAGACACAATGACTAGAAGACCTGTGACTAATGTCCAAGTTTTTGTCACCCACTCTATCATACCTACCACGTTCAATCTTTTACCTCAGAATTTAACATACTTTCTAATTTTATGCCTAGAATCAACTTCCTTTCAAATATTCTTTCTCTATCCAATTCGGTTTTTAGGAAAATGGATACTTCAATAAAAATTCTCTCTCAGTCTAATCCTAATGGTCTCCTTTACTTAAATGGTAGTCACAGCTGTGGTTTTTCCAGTAGCCATGTATGGATGTGAGAGTTGGACTACAAAGAAAGCTGAGCACCAGAGAATTGATGCTTTTGAACTGTGGTGTTAGAGAAGACTCTTGAGAGTCCCTTGGACTGCAAGGAGATCCAACCAGTCCATCCTAAAGGAGATCAGTCCTCGGTGTTCACTGGAAGGACTGATGCTGAAGCTGAAACTCCAATACTTTGGCCACCTGATGTGAAGAGCTGACTCATTTGAAAAGACCCTGATGCTGGGAAAGATTGCGGGCAGGAGGAGAAGGAGATGACAGAGGATGAGATGGCTGGATGGCATCACCGACTTGGTGGACATGGGTTTGGGTAAACTCCGGGAGTTTGTGATGGATAGGGAGGCCTGGCGTGCTGCGGTTCATGGGGTCGCGAAGAGTCGGACACGACTGAGCAACTGAACTGAACTGACTGAATGACATTAGCATTTTGTATTAGCTCATTGTTGCCATCAGCCTCCTACAATTTAAGACATTAGAATGACAACTCCAGTTTATTTGGCATATTGTATAGATGAATGGAAAAGCTGACCTGCCAAATCCCAGGAAGGGAGGCAGCTCCAGCACTGACCCAACCAGGAGAACAGAAAGCAGATCTTGGGCACTAGTTTGACTGCTATGCTAACCCACTAAATGTATCGGTGAAAGAGGGTTCTTTCATAGGTTTTGTTCATCTTTTTTCCCATACAGGGAATAGATATCCTTGGGCACAGTCCTCATGCAAAATTCATATTTTGTTTTGAATTTTTTCCTCAGGCTTATGATGTTTGTGAGACATCAAATATCCAGCCTTCATTTTTTTCCTTAAAAAAAAAAAAAACCTCCAGAAATTAAAATTTAACAGGTTGGAATTAAGTTCTAAATTATCCACCTAACCTTTGAATTATTCTGCTTCTGATGTTAGCCAAAACTGTCGAATAGTAGGGCTTTTCTTTTTCTAGATAGACGAGATGATCACAATAGCTCAAACCACTTAAAGTATTTGCATTCTGTTAAGTACCAATCACTGACAAATATTAGGATGTCTGTTTCCCCAATGACAAAATAAATATGACTAGCTCTAATGGGCAATCCCAACTCTTTAAAGATTCTTGTCTACCTGCAGAACCCTTTGGCCTAAGTCACCAACTAGCACCCCTTCTGAGAATTAGAATTTAGCATTCTCGGTGCAACCGCTGAAGAGATTCACCTATACAGAGTAACAGCCACTACTGGACAGAAAACGTAAGCAGCATCTTTAGGATGATGACATACAGGTTTAAACAAAGTCAAGACGGCTGAGTGACTTTCAGGACAATAAAACTGGTTTTTAGAAATTCAAAGTTAAATAAATGAAAAGCAAAGTCAAAAAGTAAAATACTTCTAAACTGCCTTGAGCCCTAAATTGTCATAATATTAAAAACTTCATGTTTCTTGAGACAGTTTGTCTCCTGGGATACTATTCAGAATGAAGATACTAGTTGAAACGCAATCAAATTCATTTTCTAATACTGCTTAAAGTTTCCTGGAATTCTCCCAAGATCCAATCATGCCCAAGGCAACATTAACTCTACACTTGGTAAAAATTCAAAGTTACTTTATTTATTTTCAATTCACTATCTAGTCTCTCCTCTTAAAAAATTTTGTAAAAAATTAACTACCAATTTTGAGTAAAATAGCAATGGAGCCTCTTCTTGGGTCTGGTGACACTGTTACATACCAAAGTACAGAGATTACTTTCCTGATGCTTTTGGTAATACTTTTTCCAAGAATAATTGAACTCTATGTCTAAAATCAAAGCTGAATTCACATAATGATGCCTCCAATTCAATAGTTTACTCTGTTATCCAAGGACCTATGCTCTTACCATCAGAAGCAAATATTTCATGGCTACATCCAAAGCACTCAAAGGAAAAATATAATCTGACAACATAAAGAATAGTCCCCCTATAACTGTTTATTAGAATGTGAATATATTCCAAATCAGTAACTTAAAAAAAAATCAAGTTACAGAGCATGCATAAAATACAAAGTAGCGATTTACAAGGAGATAGTAGTATCTTCATAACCAATACACCAAAATAATAAAACAGCTACAGAGGAAAACTAAATAGACTGACCACAGCAATGCCTTCAGTGCACCCCACACGTCATGAGCACCGCAAAAGACAGATGATTAACTATGAAACATAGTAATCCAGGCAAGCCCACACACATGTATATTTTGGGGATATTCCACCATCCTGAATAGTATCACTTTAGTTGACACAACTTTCAGAACACTTCAGAGTTAAGTGCTTAATATTATCCACAAAAAAAAAAAACCTAAATATTAGTGTGCACATTTCGGAATGAAAAATGAGTTGCTCCATTGATTTCAATAATGTAGTGGAAGAAAACTTTCAGGTTTGTACAATGCCTAAATGCATTCTATTTAAACTCAAGGTACTATTTCATCTTACATACTAAAATACATGCCTTTAAGTGGTACCACTTGAGCAGAAATTAACCTCTCTTGTATTCTTTAACATACTGAAACCAGATATTTAACTGGACTATATTCCATAATATACTATAAAACTCAAAAATCAGCATTGTTAAAATAATTATCCATGCCTGCTGGTGGCTATGGTGGTAAAACTAGGTTGCATTTACTGGAAGGTTTTAAGACAAAATTAACACTTCACCATCGGATACTAAGAGCATTAAACCAGCTATTGCCTGAGCAATAAAATGCCACATAATATACTGCTGGGAAATTAGAGAAGTTAAATGACTTGGGCTGCCTGATTACTGTTAACAGAGGCACCTCAGATGGAATTCCACCAGTCTCTCCAGTTCCCAGCCTTCCAGGCAGCATTGTGTGACTTATGGCCCCGTAACCATACTACTGAAATCATCAGTCTTTTGTGTTTATTAAGATAATTCTTGTCCAGAAAAAAGTATTCCCCCCTCTCTAATCAACTTTGATGTTTACAAAAATTAAAAAACAAAATTTACTAAACTACATAACCCTATTAAGGCATTTTAGAAATTGACTTCCGGAATAATGGAAAATTTATAAGCTCTCAAAATTCTGCTATGTTTATAGGGCAATTATTAGATTTATGGAAATATACTCTGCACTTGGAGAAGAGTGTGTTAATTATAAGCTGCTCTGTGGCAAAATGATAGCTTATTTCTACAGTCTTCTTAATTTGATTTAATCAAGACCAACAGGTCTGAGCTTCAAGGGATCAAGTTCTATTATGTCCTACAGTGACAGCTTCCATGATGAAAAGTAAACAATAATTGAGGAATCCAAACATTCAGTTTATTAAACTAAGGCTAGTAAAGCCATAGCATGAAAAAAAGCTGCAGTCATTCGGGACAAATGGATGATTTTATAAAGCTAAAATCAAAAGACTTGAGACATGGAAAAATTCATAAGTATGAGGAAGTAATAAAACACAAAAATGACCACAAGAATTACAAATATATTTAAATCTCAGACCTGGGAATTGGACTATACACAGCCTTCTAGGGGAGAAGAGAAACGCCTTATATGTTCTGACAGCACTGCACCTTTGGCTTGTTTTCAGTGGTTGGTGGAACATGAATAGGAACCACATTGTTGCTTGGAGACATGTCATTTTCACGTCTGTCTGACATCTGCTTCTGAGAAACAATGCGGTATATCTCTGAGGGGAAAAAAAAAGAAACAGCAACACTCACTGTGAACAGACCCATAAATCAGTGATTAAAAATAAAAGATACACAGAGGTAGAAGTTATATTCACAAGAGAAAAAAAATGCAAATAAACTGAACAGAGACTGCATATACTCAAAGCTCTTTTTTCAACCAGTCACTGATCAGTCAACCCATTATTTCACAATTTCCCTTAAGGTAAGAACAGAGACAAAGGCTTTCCATTCCAGAGGGAAAGGTTTACCAACCAGTTAAATAAATCTTGGTCTAAAGAGATTATATAGTTTATGGGCTTAGATCTAAATTTCTATCCTTATCAAAAAAAAAAACCTACACTGTACCACAGAAAAATATTTAAATCTTCATTATCAGACCCAGTAGGTATTTCGGTATGTAGTGAAGAATACAACTTCATAGACAAGTCAAAATCCCAAAGAACTCTTGGAAAAGAAGACTGAAAAGATAATGTTTATCAATGCCTCCTGAACTAAAGTTAAATTGCAATGAGATAATTATGCAAAACAGGCAACTTAAGATTTTCTATGACACTTAGCAAAACTAACTGTTTAGCATCCACCTCTTCCACTACATGTCCCCTGCCATATCAGTAAGAAGACGACGCTGGGGCCATCAGCCGCTACACCCACCCCCTCTCCCCAACGAAGCACCCTGAGGGAATTGAGGATGGAGAAAAGTAATATACTGGCACTATCGAGTTAAGGTGCATATCAAAAGAATGATTTCAGACTTCCCATACCTAGAAAAGCCCTAAACTCATTAACTTGAGATGTCTGGTTTTCTTCAGTTTTGAATCCAGACTACCTGATTTTTTGTTCCAAAACCTCCTATATATCCTGGTTCCTCTCCTAACTCTTCTGTTCCTCAGAGCTATCTGAGAGGCTGCCTCCTGGACTTATGGCCTCAGCAAGTCCACCGAATAAAAAATATAATTCTCAACATTCAGACTGCCTTTTTTTCAATCGACAGATTATAAGGACCAAAACTGTACTACCTTATTCACTGCTGTATCCCCAGCATATTAAGTTGGTGCAAAAGTAATTGTAGTTTTGCATTGTTGAACTTTGTCATTTGATATTAGAACACATTTGTAAATAAATGTAGTTATGTTATCAGTTCAGTCGCTCAGTCATGTCCAACTCTTTGTGACCCCATGGACTGCAGCATGCCAGGCTTCCCTGTCCATCACCAACTCCCGGAGCCTGCTCAAACCCATGTCATCAAGTTGGTGATGCCATCCAACTATCTCATCCTCTGTAGTCCCTTTCTCCTCCTACCTTCAATCTTTCCCAGCATCAGGGTCTTTTACAATGAGTCAGTTCTTCATATCAATGGCCAAAGTATTGGAGCTTCATCTTCAGCATCAGTCCTTCCGATGACTATTCAGGACTGATTTCCTTTAGGATGCACTGGTTTGATCTCCTTGCTCAAAGGTTATGTTATACATCATTTTAATGTGCATTTCTTGCATTTCTTTTTTTTGGCTAATGACTTATTACTTGCTATTTATATTTATTTTAGACTTGGCAAATGTTAGACAAAAAGCAAATTTGAGTGATTTTCTTATTCAAGTTCAAAATGGCTCGTAAAGCAGTGGGGATAGCTCGCAACGTCAACAACATGTTTGGCCTAGGAACTGCTAACAGTGAATGTACAGTGCAGTGGTGGTACAAGGAGTTTTGCAAAGGAGACGAGAGCCTTGAAGATGAGAACCACAGTGGCTGACCATTAGAAATTGACAACGACCAATTGAGAGGACCATCGAAGCTGATTCTCTTACAACTACGTGAGAACTTTCGGAAGAACTCAACATCGACCACTCTATGGTCATTCAACATTTGAAGAAAACTGAAAAGGTGGAAAAGCTCAGTAAGTGGGTACCTCATGAATGGACTGAAAAATTTTAAAAAAATCATCATTTTACAGCGTCTTCTCTTATCCTAAGTAACAACAAACCATTTCTCCATCAGAAATTGTGACATGTGACGAAAAGTGGCTCTTAGACAACAACTAATAACAACCAGCTCAGTGACTGGCCTGAGAAGCTCCAAGGCACTTCCCAGAGCCAAACTTACACCAAAAAATAGTCATGGTCACTGTCTGGTGGTCTGCTGCCAGTCTGGTCCACTACAGCTTCCTGAATACCAGCGACACCATAATATGTGAAAAGCATGCTCAGCAATTCGATGAGATGCATGGAAAACTGCAACGCCTGAAGACAGCATGGGTCAGGATGCGGTCAACAGGATGGGCCCAACTGTCTCCATGACAAAGCCTGATCGCATATCGCACAACCAAACACTTCAAAAGTTGAACGAATTGGGCCACGGAACTTCAGCCTCATCTGCCATATTCACCTGACCTCTCAACAACTGATTACTACTTCAAGCATCCTGAAAATTTTTTTCCAGGAAAGTGCTTCCACAACCAACAGGATGCAGAAAATGCCTTCCAAGAGTCTGTTGAATCCCGAAGCACAGATTTTTACGCTACAGGAATAAAAAACACTTATTGCCCATTGGCAAAAATGTGTCGATTGTAATGGTTCCTATTTTGGTTAACAAAGATGTGTTTGAGCCTAGTTATAATGACTTAAAATTCACAGTCCAAAACAGCAATTACATTTGCACCAACCTAATAGTAGGGGACTGATAATTAAGTACGTGAATAAATTATATTAAATTCCTCTGCAGCAAGTTATTGTCGTTCAGTTGCTAAGTCTTACCCAACTCTTTGCGACCCCATAGGCTGCGGCATGCCAGGCTTCCCTGTTCTTCACTATCTCTTGGAGTTTGCTCAAAATCATGTCCTACAGCAAGTATCCTTATTTAATAAATAATTGTATTTTTTATAAATTGGTCTTACAGTGCACTGCCTAAAACAGTAGCTCCCGGTTACTATCTAAACTCCTTACAAACAAATATATCTTACTTTGTTTTCACAGTGCTTCCTCAGAAAAAACACCCTCTAAAAGTAAGGGAATTCTAAAAATGCAACAAACTGACATGATATGCCTATTATGTGGTACTGTGAGGTATAACATATTCCTGTGAATGACACCTACGTATTCCTACCAAAAAATGCTTAAAATGAAGTTATCACGAGGAAATAATGAGATAAATCCAGACTGAGGGACACTGTCTAAGACAACTGGCCAAGATTCTCTTTCGGCTGTGCCCTGTCTTGGTTGAAGCATTTCCTTGAGTTGCAGCACGTGTGATCCCGTTTCCAGAGCCAGGGATCAAAGCCAGGCCCCACTGAGCTGGGAGCAGAGCCTGAGCCACTGGACGACCACAAGGGAAGCCCCTTGGCCAAGACTCTTCAACAAAAGTTAGTCACAAAATACAGCAAAAATTGAGAATAAATGCTTTAGATGTGGGCTATGGCCCATCTATTTATATTAAATAATGCGTTAACCACCTGTTTAAATAAATAAAATTTAAAATCCAATTCCTCAGTCTAACAGCCATATTTCAAGTGCTTAATAACAACCTATAGTCAGTGGCTACCCTATTCAGTACCCAAATATGTAATGATTCCATTAATGCAATGTGTTTTCCTGGACTGGATCCTAGGTTTAAAACTGTAAAAGCCAAATCTGTAAAACACAAATCTGAATATAACTTGCACATTAGATAATACTACATGAACATAAAGTTCTTAGATATACGATATTGTGATTATTTTAATATAAAGTTACGCGTTAAAAAAAAAAGAGAAAGCAGATTCATACTTTCAAAATGTCCAAGAATATAGCAACCAAATGCAATGTACAAACATCATTTGGATTCTAGTTTCAACTATTAAAATTTGAGACAGGAAATTTTAATATTGTTTGGGTAATTAATACCGGACAATAAGGAATTACTGCCAATTTTTAAGTGGTTTTGTTGTTACGGGTTTAAATTCTATCTTTTAGATGTACATCATGAAATGTTTACAAATGAAATGACGTAATACCTGGAATTTGTTTCAAAACAATGGGGGTGGCAGTAGTTAAGACAGGCTCTGAACTGATGGCTATCGATGGCTACATGGGAGCTCATGACAGTATCCTACTTTTGGCACGCTGAGAATTTTCCATGACAAAAAGTTAAAGGAAAGAAAATACATTAATAGATTAATATGTCTTTTTCCCCAAATTAAAAACTAATGTTCCTAAAGTTGAATAAGAGCAAACTATAATCAACTGTATATGTAAACGAACAAAGACACTGACAGCTAGTGTACCTTCTTATGCTTTTCTGGGGGATCAGGTGGCTAAAATGTATGCTTTAAAAGGTTGACAGTGGTTCAAAGAACCAAGAGAAAAAAATGAGATTATAATAAACGATATTGACTAGAGTTTTGTTTGGTTTTTTTTTAAGGATATGAAGGCAGAGCCTTCATTTACATTCTTTTCATTAAAAGGGGATGGGACCAGAGTATGTCAAGGGTAAAAAGGAAAAATTGATCAATCAGGCAAGTGACTAAGGACTAAAGTTAACCATCAAAACGTACTGTGAAACTAGACTCTTCAGTCTTTGTTATGTTTTCTCTCTAATCCAAAACTGGATGGCTCTTCTTCTTCAAGTACAAATTATTAAATTAGATCCTCTATAAATTTAACTTCTTTACAAGTGGTTTTGAATGTTGTTAAGGGAACCAAAACAAAAAATATTTTATAGGTTCTTACATGAAAAGCAAATACTGGAAAAGAGGAAAAAAGCAGAGTTCTCAGAGAACACAGAAAAGTAAATAAAGAGATCTCATTATAAGGAAATAAATCTGAGCAGCATTACAAAACTGCCTGCAAATACTACATACTATTTGGCAGAAATAGATTACTCCTATATTGCTCCAGTCACCAAAAAGATGCTAACCAAGGCAGTGAAGAAAAAGAAACTGCTGATCAGGAAATGAGGAGAAGATTTCCTTTCAGGTAGAATAGGCACTAAGAAGCTACACAAGTAATTTACTTAACATCTCTCGTGG